CGGCCATTTATCCACTGATGAACATAGGTCTTTCTCTTGAGAGGTTTTGTCAATAGTAGTGCTTGGCAATCGGATTGCAACCGCAGCTACGTTTTTGGCGATGATTTAAAAGTTACGCTGCTGTCATTTCTCAACCATTAAGTACCCAAAGTCTCTTAAGACGCCCTCAGGAAAAGAAAAGTATATAATTTATCGAATTTTTTTATACCACTGAGGTGGCAAACAAGCATACAGTCCACCTGATGGTAAGTGGTTACCATAGCCTTTGAACACCTGCAATACCAGAGGTATTACGCGTGCATTGCCGACCCTGAAGGAACCTCTTTACCCCCCTTTTGAAGAACCCCATGCTGTAGGCTCTTGGGAAAACCTCGGCAGGCAATTTAAAAACCATAATAAAACCTTTTTGGAAAAACTAATTGTGTAAAAGCATGGGGCCGATCGATTCGCTTAAAAAAGAATCGTACATCGAACGCCGACAACCGGTCCGGTAATCGGCCGAGAACATTGTAATTTTCACCTCATTAAATCCCAAATCACGCGATGGCGTCCCAAAATCAATTAGACGGAACCTCGCCATTTTCCAATAGCACTTTAGAAATCGGTCTATTCCACGTTTCGATTCAATTTGACTCGTAGATGTAAACCGATATTGAATGGACACTATACAAGTGAATCGATCGGGGGGAGAAGGGATTGTTAGTAATGGAGACTAGCAATCTCATTGCTAGCAATATACCCTTTCATGTAGACCTACACGTCGCGCATGATCAGGTTTGCGCCCGAGCGCATTCCAACGACTCAGAGTTCCCACTCATCACGACATACCGACCCTTCCCTTAACGGGGGTTGAAATGCGATGGCCTAAGCCGAGGTCTGAGCCACTCTGGCACCTTAAGCGGACGCCGCAGTCCATAAGTAAGAGTCAACGCCTCTGTCGCTCCCCTCTCGCGGGCTTAAATCTTTTATCTTAGTTGGACTAATAACTCATCACCTTCCTACTCTTATTCCAATTATTATTTGGGGTCGGCGAAATATGTTTCTCTTCCATTCATCTTTGTTAGCAGTCATTTCCGCATTCACTCTCATTCTGGCCATATCATCTTTCATACAGTCCATCCATCTCCTTTTAAATATTCTTCTATCTTTAGAACTATCTACATTCATGTTTTTTCATCTACATTCAAGACTTTGTTTGGGCTAATAACCAAAGTTGGTATAAGGATTTACATTAAGTACGTACTCAATTACTAAAATTTCTTATTTTCACGCAATAAGTCAAAAGGAGGTATGACAGACAGACATCAATTGGAATTATGTTATACTGATAGTTTGTTATGTTGTTTAAAACTAAATATATATACATCGTCACCTCTATGGCAAATTTACAAATCTGCAGTTTTTTCAAATTTGACATTTCTTTAAAAATCTACATTTTGCGCCATACTACTTATTGTGGCTTATTTTCAAATTTCTATCTCTAACGGTTAAAGGAATCGAGTAGCTCAAATCTCCATATTTTTGTGATATACCCAAAGTAAACTTACTTAGCATATTTTTATAGTATTTTCTATAATAAACACTTTAATTTGAAAATTTCAATAATTATTTTATCAATTTTTCAATCCTAATTTAGTTATTTTACATGAATGATTGCAATAAAGTTGTTATTTAAACTGGAGTTCTCGCCAAAACACGTGATTTATACCTTGGTATATTTACGAAAGTGGCACTTTCGTTAGTTTGGCAGATATTAAAATAAATTATTTTCTTTGGCAACTTTCGAAACTGCCACTTTCGTAGGAACTCTCATGTATGAAGGCGCGAAGACGAATATGCATTTATTTCTGAGACTTGTAATATAATTATAATTAATTAAACGCATTCAATAAATAACAGGATTTTAAAACTAAAATGTTAGCATGACCTTTTACAGTAGTCTTCTGTCAAAAGCTATTTGCATTCTAATGTTTCAAAACGTTCCCCTGTAAAATGTATCTTTTTCAGTTTCGTAAGTTTACCATAAAGGTGACGACATTATCACTGTCATTATAAAGCATCCATATAAAATCAAATCAAAAATTCATTTTGCGAAAACATAGGTTTATAAATTACATAAATGTTAATTGAATACATTTTATATACATTTATATACAACTATCATCTCATGATATACGAATTGTTATCATTATGGGATAAAATGTTAAAGAATGCATTGTAAATATTCTTCCATTATTTCCTGAAATACCTATAAAAACATCAGTGTTTTTTAATTTCGTTCAGAGAGTAGAAACATTTGTCAATGTAGCCAGTTATGTAGCCATAAGAAAATATAAACAAACTATAACCGTGCTAGAGCATGTTCATTACTTTTTTATGCAACTATAATGGTAAACAAATTGACGGCTTACCTGATGGGAAGTAGTAACTGTTGCCCATAGACATGAACGATACCATGATATCACAGAATACTCAGTAACGCCCTTTATTGAATATATCTGTGGCCATTCCATAAATAAAAAAAAAAGTAATGCGATGACAGATGAACTGTCAAAAGCGCTGGCGAGGTTAAGGCATTTAGAAAAGCCACGTACGCACAAAAGACCAATATCTCTGGAATTAATATTGTTATGTGGTTAGCTTTTTACAAATAAACATTCAAATAAATACAAAAGGCTTTGATTCAAAACACCCATGACCCCTCATGCGTTGCTATTCTTTTTGCATTTAGATTGTACCTCCATCGACAATAATTTCATTGCCAAATCCGAGCCAAAAATTAGCCAAGCAAACACAATAACATTACAATAAACACGAGTGCGACAGAGATACACAGATTTGTAGAGTTATGTACAGTCTCCGTCTGGTGGTAGTAATTTAATTTTTCTCTCAACTTTGCCCTTTCGAAAATCTACAAAGACTTTCACCTACAGAGCACCTTTACCTTTAATAGACAGAATGTCAATAAGGACGTTCACGCCGCATCTACACAAGGGTGTCTCTTCAATTCGCCTTACATCAACCGTCGACGTACTCGGAAAGCTAAAGCATGTCATTCATTAATGTCTGAGGGGCCCTTTCAGTGATTTACAATTGGGAACTTCGTTATTGATTTGAAACTCAAATTGAATTTCGGTTAATAAGAGTGACTCTATTATTAATGGAAGCAAGAATGAAGAACTCGAGCGTACATATATTTTTTTTTCTATACAAAATTCGTATGCACAAAACTCATCCAATTATACAAATTACGAATTTATTAGCATCAACTTTTCTTTATCTCATTACGATGGATCTCTACTATAATGCTGGGGGTCTATCATGAAATGAAATGCCGAATTTTCGGCCTCATCTCGGTTCAGTAAATGTAGCTTAATATTTCGTCGTCATATATTTTACCGTAATAGCCCAAAGGAACGATATTTTAACATTCTTAAACAATATGTATTATGTAATTTTAACATGTTTCGATTGATCCCGAAATTAAGGAAAATAATTCATGGTAGGCCCCAGAACGAGACTAGATTATAGTAATAAATTGTTTCTTATGTATTGATATTTTTAACCTCCAAAAACAGGGGTGTTATAAATTTTACGTGCATATGTCGTTTTGTGGTATCGTAGCTCCTAAACGAATGGAAGGATTATGATAGAACATTTTTTGTTTGGTTCTTAGCTACAATTTATGGAGATCTATTCAGGCGTTTTAAGGTCATCAGCTCTTTTTATAGGCATGTCTGTGTCGGGACTTTTTTAAAATTTTAATAAATTTATAATTATACCACACCGAGAGTGACATTGTAGTGTGAATCAAGCCTTATTTCTGGTCTGTGTAATATTTACCTTTTCTACTGATCCCTATTAGTCGTCACACCTGAGCACTCTTCTTTTTTGTTCGCATTATGTTTTACATAGTCCATGCATATTTTCTTTGGTCATTCCCAACCTTTAAAGCCCTTAATATATCAAACATGATTTTAATTTTTGTAAAATAATATGAATCAAATCTTTTTCTAATATGGAAAAAAACATATTCAAATTCAAATTCAAAAATCATTTATTCATGTAGGACATTTTAGCCGCTTATGAACGTCAAATTTTTTACGCCGACCCCTAATAATAATTGGGATAAGAACTAAGCATCGATCAAGAAAAAAGATCCAGTATTGTCATCCTCGTGTATATTTGTTATTTATCAATATTCAATCCGTGTATCCATGTAATTATTAGCTTGTACATCAAGTACAAGCTAATAATTACATGTATGTAGTACCTCGTTCTAGCATTCTGACATTCCCCTAAGATGGTAAGGACTAAAGGAAAATCCGCCATTTACATATTTCCTGTACTAAAGAATAAATAATTAAATTAAAACTTCGTTCCTTCCTTTACCAAGACAATAGGTTACTTCACATCTATACAATCTTTAAACAGTAAATCGATTTTGGGATATGTATATAAAATGTTAAAATTTATTTTTATTCTGACCTATGTTCATTGAGGAAAATTGGTCAGTTCGGATTCATGAATCATCATCATTGTTACCTCTTCACTATCCAATGCTGAACATAGGCTAACTTCCAGTCATTAAAAGCGATCTTCACTCCAGATACTACCAACCTATGTACATACTCGTTCCATTTAGGGGAAAAGACCCTGGTATCTCTGGAGCATTGCTATCAATATACTTACCAAGTTATGTGTACCATGAACCACGCGGTCCCTTAGAAACTCTCGTAATTAATGCTTATGGAATTCGTCACGATGGGCTAACTGACATACCTTCATCCTCACCTATCATACCTCACTGGTGCCCCGCCATCTTAAACAATAGCGAAGGCGAGATTACCATTCTATTTTTCACCCATTAAAAAACCCTAGAGCTAATACTACGTATGGTATATACCATGTTCCCATATAGTAACTTTTAAAATATCCCTTGCTCTCAATGATCAGGACTACTGTCCGCATAAGGCGAGTAATTTTAGAAAAAAAAAGCATTTATTATCATGTACAAATGTAACATCCGTCTCTTTATTAAAATATTCCACAGTTGGTAAACTCGTTGCATTTATTCCCACTGGTCGTTTTTATAATATACCATACTATGATACGATATCGTACAATTTTACCGTAACGATATAATAGGAGAGCAAAATATATGCAATTTTAACAAACGTTTTTAATCCCCGCAACGATACGTTGGACGTGCATGGAAATTTAAACACGCCTCTATACATTTGCATACATTCTGCTCTCCTATTATACCGTGACGGTACAATGGTACGATATTACGATATTGTACGATTATACATAATCGTAGTACGATATATTACGAAAATGACAATTACATAATTCACATTTGACATTTCATTTAGTCAATAACACTAATGAGGTTTACATTGCATTACACTATAAAATAAAAAATATATATATACTTAATATAAACCGAATTAAATAATTCTGTGATAGCTTGTTATCGCATTTTAAAAATTCCTTTTGATTAATTTAAATAAATACCTATTTATTTAATTACATTTTTAATATAATATACTAATACATATGCGGCAGTTGTTTAAAATTACATACTATTTAATATAATCACATAATGATATAGAAGCGACATCACAGAACTACAATATTCAGTAATCTGCAAATTTAAAAATAAAACTTTTACCTACGGACCAATTATTTCATAAATTATCGAAATATTGATTTATATAATTATATATTATTAAGCGTAATATAATAATAAATTTATATAAAATTAATAAAAATATTTTGCCAGCATTTTTTTTTATAATAATTATTTTTTTATGGATATAGGATTTATTGCTAAAAGGAATATCATCCACATCAACCTAGAGAATATAAAAAGTATTTTGATAATTACAAAATTGATAATTTTTTTTATAAAAATGTATGACATCACTGAAAGAAATTTTTTCGCCATTATTACGGGTAGGTTCAAGGATATAACGTAACATACGTACATTCAAAACGTCTTAAATAGCATTGACTGCAACAAGATATAAAAAATGCGAAAAACAAAACCTAAAATCCAAAATAAACTGTTACAAAAGAAAAAACTACCTATATCTCATTTTTGGGAAACGGAATTACGACCTTACTGTAAAAGTAATAAGGTTACCATTCCACTGTCGAAAATAAACTGGAACGTATGGAACAATTAGTCCGTAGATTACTTAGGTACTTATTACTTTTGAGCACACAACAGAACAGCACCCTGTAGCTAGAATACTAATAAAAAAACATAATTCACGACAATATTATTGATAGAGCTTATGTTATCATTTTTAACCATGTCTATATATATACGTATAATGGGAAATTTACACATGACGCTGCGACGCAAAGCGCCGTACGCCCCCTTACGAAGACATCCGGATAAAGACGAAGCAATTGTCGGAAACGACAACATAGTGACTTCATAAAATTCCCCCTTATACATATACAATGGCATATTCAATATTCACAAATATATCATGGCAATATTGATACATGAAACAAAAGAAATTTGAAATTTCATATCCATTTTTAACTAGAAAAGTACCAACTCGAAAACAAGGGGGCGGTCGATACATTTGCGTCCTTCCAGCATATTTGCATTAAGTGGCATTTGAAATGAAATTTATTACATATGCAATATGTACTTCTCGTGAAATATATTTATCTTTAAAACAACAATACAGCAGCGAATGCCTCTCATGTAAATAAATGAAAATCGGTCTCGGAATAACCGATGATATTCCATAGCGTAAAATAAAAAAAAAATATATACAATCCAATTGAGTGCCTCCTACGTTCATTCGTCACGCATATACCTTTGTATCCGTACAATTTGCGCTTAAAACAAAAATGCCAGAAGCCGTCACCGTTCGACTCCATCGAAATGTGTTTTCACATAAATAACATTGCATATTTCTCTACAAGGAAGCATCAATCACGGCGAATGCTCTTACAATGCGTATATTATAATTTGGTATACACGCATAGTTAAGTGCGTTCAAACCGAAGTGTTACAACGTCGGAATTATGTGTCAAAAGTTGATATATAGTTAAGTGCGTTCGTACCTAAGTGTTACAACGTCGGAATTATGTGTCAATTTACAGGAACAAGTGGAAAAATTTTTCAATATCTCTCATTTGTTTTTATTATTTTATCAATTTCATTTCATTGCATTTGCTATTAAAAAAAAAATGCTCTGATAGCAAACTAATAGATTATTAAAATAAATTCTGGTTAACGCTACACAAGATTTCTCTTTCAACAAACCCAAAGTAGAAAATATCAATTAATGTCAATTTAATCAATAAATACATTTTAATTACCAATCAGAACACTTTTTATATAATCAATTGCAAATATCTAATACTAATCAAATGTTCTTGAAAATCGACGTACAATTCCGACGTTATCACACTTTAGTAAGCTATAAAGTACTTACGCACTTAACACTTGCGTCGTATTCTACTTGATCAATGGTTGGACACGTACATATTTCAGTTTTATCATATTATATCATAATTAGTTTTTCATTTATATCAAAACTGGCACGTAAAGGCGACTTTATCGATCAAGGCATGATTTACATGTAAGCAAATCAAATCACAATATTTACCATTAACTAACACTAACAAATATATAACTACAGTGGCATAGTTGAATCATTCGTTTATTTACATAATGAAATATAACCTTTGAATCTATTTGTATTATTATTGTATATATATACAATAATTATGTATTTTTTTTATACAACTTAGAATGGCAAACAAGCTGACGGCCCACCTGATGTAAAGTGGTAACCGTCGCCTATAGACATGAGCAGTACCACGGACATAACAGATTATACTGTTTCGCCCACGATACCTCCCATGCGTTGCCATTCCTGAGGACTCGGGTGTTATTCCTCTGTACCCAGTAAATTTACGCCATATCCCACCCTTCAACCCGAAACATAGCCATGCAAACACAACTGCTTCACGGTTGAAACACGAATGGGACAGAAGTACCCAAGCAATCGACTTTTGTACAAAGTCTCCCTCTGGTAAATGTAATGGTAATGTTTATTAAAAGTAAATTAACTGTAATAGGCTTAGTTTGAAGAAAGTTTTTAAAGTGGCGACTTCATACAGGTAAACGCAGTGTGAAACTAGACTGAGCAACGATTTCAAATACCATAGTAGATAGTCAGTGGATGCAGGTGACTTGGGGTCAGTGTTTACGGCAGTATGGGAGAGGCCTATGTCCAGCGGTGGACAGGTAACGTCTGATGTAATGATGACGAAAATGATTGTAAAGACATTTGGATGTTTGTCATACAAACATGCTTAAACGACTGCTTAAATTGTTTTGAACTAAATTCACAGACGGACTATATCTTTATTTAATATCTAGGTTACGTTTTACCATTATTATTTTTTTTTAATTCACACGGATAAGACCATGGGAACAACTATTTCATAAAAATAAACATATATACCAAACCTATTACAGTACTTTTACATGTAAACATATTCTGAAATCTTTTGTAGTTTAAAAATAGTAGAAAGAGATGGCAACTGTATATAGCTATCTCTATATGCGCGTGTTGTATCTTAGGCTCATATTATAATATAAATCTATCACAAGATACTGTTTAAGATTAATAAAAGAAAATTAAGACGAAGTTAATCATAGGAGATGAAGTCACTCGAGAGATGAAAACGTGTTCTTTTAATTCATTGTTTAAATTCCAAATTTTAAATGTTTTAATCGATCGATTGATCGATTAAGTAATACAAGGAAAGTCGATACGCCCTTAAGATAGAAACTTGAGTATGAATTTTGAATACTAACCCAAGTTTAAATATTAAGGCGCTTCAAATAGCTTGTGTGTATGATAATGTACTGAGAGTTTAAAACTAAATTAATCGTTATATTAAAAGAATTGTACATTGAAAAATATGGTGATAACAACAGCATTATTTTACCAATAATTGTTTTACAACAAGCACTATCTAAAGAAGAAGAATAAGAAGAAAGAAAAAAGAGGAATAATAAGAAGAAAGAAAAAGAAGAATAAGAAGAAAGAAAAAGAAGAATAAGAAGAAAGAAAAAGAAGAAGGCGGCAGAATTATACAAGTTCCTTTTTTTAAGCTATTGTGATACAAGAGTCTATCTAACATTGCTTAGTAATAAAATAATTGTTGTGCGTTTAAAATACAGTGATTTATCCCTGAAATGCGAATCCCTCGGCAGATACGTTTTCGTTACCGCATGCATGAAATAGAACGAGACAGTAACGTCTTGCGCATTGGTCTTTCTCATGCATGTCTAGCGAATGATTCGTTTTCTATTTGTCTCGTGGCAAATTAGTTAACTGTCCATCGACTCAAAACCACGCAGTCCACGCTTCACACCATATGCATTAAATACTATAATTTCAAAAGACAACTCAGTTATTGGTCGCAAATATGTCCCATAATAAATATAAGATATTCACAAAAAAAAAAACCTAATGATAAAATTAGTACGAAACGTTATATACCACGAGGGTGACAAACTAGCGTACAGCCCATCAGCGGGTCTACCATGAAATCTAATTTCGAAATTTCGGACTCAATTTCGTGTTTTTGTTTATACCAAAATCTGACCAATAAATGGAGTATAACATTTTATCATAAAAGTCCAGAGAAACAATATTTTAACAAAATTTTTAATATTTCCAAACGGCTTGTATTATGTAATTTAAACAACAAATTTGTGTTCCGTTTGGCTCCAAAATTTCGGAAAACATTTCATGGTAGGCCCTCAGATAGTAAACGGTTACTGTAGCCTATGAACGTCTTTTTGTGGAAATTTCTACAAAAAAAAAACAAATAAAAAATTTGTATGAAAAGTCAATTCGTATGTCGAAAGTAAACAGTATCGATGGCCGAATCATCAAATATGACGAGCAAAAATAACGTCAGAACTGAGAACTTTTCTGACGTCATATATTAATATTTTTGTTTTACGTAATTCATCTATACTTAACGATATCGAATTTTATAAATATCCAATTAAGATTGTTTTACCGGTGATACTGAACGTATTTCTTAAAGAAACATATTGAAAAACAACAAACAAAACATTTGGAGCCTTCCATTTTAATGTATGCCAGCTGTATGTATATGTATGACAGTTGGTAGATGAACGAGTCATGGCAGTATGAATGGTTTAGGGGGAAAAGACTGTAAAGCAGATACAGTTTACAGCTGATCCCTCCATGCGGTTAATTCTTGTTGAATTCATCACGAAGAACTGACCTGCTCTCATCACCATTCACAAGTGTATCACCAGCGTATACCGATAACGTGGGCGTGGCTACCATACTATTGTTGTCCATTAAAAAATATGGGTGGCATATATTTTATATTTTTTTTTCTCGAATACTTTACGTTCGAATTAAAAAAAAAAGTGCTAAAGGTGGCTAAATCCTGGTCATAAAAATAAAAAAAAAAATTAAGTGTGAGACAGGTTTATATTTTTCTTTTCCTTTTCGAACACTTAACGTTCGAATTTTAAAAAAAGAAAAGACTGCTAAATATTGTTATTCCGCCTGCATAAATTCTCGTCATAAAAATAAAAAAAAAAATGTTTAAGTATAAAACAGGTTTATATTTTCTTTTTCGAATACTTATCATTCGAATTTTAAACAAAGGAAAAGAATGGATGAAGGATAAAGATTATTATTTCACCTGTATAAATCCACGTCATAAAAATAATTAAAAAAAAATGCTTAAGTCGTGTAAGATACGGTAAATAACTCATATATTAATATTGGTTTCATTTCATATAATATGAACAACCAGAAAATGCGTCATAAATGTATTAATTATAACTATAACACGATGTTTTACGTAATATCAACAATATTGCTATACTTAGACGTAATAATAGCGTCGAATCGTATCTATTATCTTGTTAACGCGAAACCAAGGGCAAAGCTGTACACTCTATACCTGACCATGCTCTGGTCGCGACCGCATCAACGAAGGTATATGAGATCAGCCGAGAATCGTATCTAGGACTAATTTATACTAATATAGTAATTACTGTGCCAGAACAGCATACTATACTGGTAATTACTGTACTAATATAGTGATTACTACTTATTAATTAGTACTAATTTTAAGTAGCAATTACTATTCTAGTACAGTAATTGTCGATATAGTAATTACTCTCGAATTGTGGATGGATGACTTTAGAGAAAATTTGAAAAAAAATTATACAGTAATAATTTATATCATAATTAAAAATTACTATACTAATACAGTAATTACTAATATAATAATTAGCGATTACTAATATGGTAATTAATAATTAGTAATCAGTAATATAATAATTAGTAATCGGTAATATAATAATTAGTAATCGGTAATATAATAATTAGTAATCGGTAATATAATAATTAGTAACCAGTAATATAATAATTAGTAACCAGTAATATAATAATTAGTAATGACTAATATAATAATAACTAATTATTATATTAGTAATCACCATACTAGTACTACGGTTACTAGTGTAGTAATTATTCCCGAATTGTCGGCGATTTCATATGAAATTTTAATAAAATACAAAACATTTTTATTATATAATCTCGATCAACGAACACTGTACCGCGTTCTCTACAAGCCATACGACAAACTATACATGTTCAAAACAAACAAATCGATTACACATTACCATTATGTATTAACATGTTTAAAATAAGTATCAGTACGTAAACATTATCCATCTAATTCCTAATTATAATATTTTTTTTTAACCACAGATTAAAAAAACTTAATTTTTTTCCTACCAGTCGTCCAGTGGACACGTCTAGACAAAGCGACGCGTCCCTTATTGCCATGCAGTCGTTCGTAACACGCCAAAGACGTTGAACCACTGGTTATTCGTTATACTGTGGTATTAGCATGATTTGTCACTTTGTCACAAAATAAAAATTAACCTAAAAACAAAAAGGACAAAACAAATTCAATCTATTGAATAACTTTATGGTTATCGAATAAGGGGGTAGTTATATAAAAAAAAAAAGTTCCAGAAATTTCGAACCCAACAATTTGTAGGTTCAAAACAACATGTTTCAATACCCTTTTTGTTGTCTGACAATGAGATAGGAAGTGTTATTCGTGCCTATTGCCTAAATCCGGTCACTACCACATCACGAGTCGATATCCGAAACGGTTAATGGATTGCGCGAACGACTTACATGTTGTCAAGCGGACAAAACTCCCTTTCAGGATGGACCAATTGAGCTCACCTATCATCACCTACTGGTACCTGAACAGCGTCAACCGATAACATAGCCCTTTCAGACCCAAGATTTTTTTTCTTTCAGATTAAATATATTTTCGTGTTTTGGCGCCAAGTCATCTTGCCGGCACGCACGAGACTACTGCACCACCTAACCGCTAAAATGATTTCTTATTGGCTGGTTTAAAATCTCACTATCATGTTATTTCAGCTTCGTGCGTAAAAATGAATTGCGCGCGGTTTTAGAATTTTTTAATGTTACAACCCACGCCCGTATCGTTCAGGTCTGAAAGGGATAGACAGGGCTTGTCAATGTCATCTATAAAAAAAAATCTAAAAAACACGTGTTACGTAATTACATGAAAGGGAAATTATGACAAAATGGCCGCCGCTTGCGCAGGCGCTTACCGCGCATGTATTAGTGATCGTCCACACACCCTCAGAAGGGTCGGTACGCCGAAGGGTACTTGATCGGTAACGACAACTGGGTAGTTTTCGCGAGGTAATTCCACCCCAACTGTTCGTACGCCTCGACGAGGCGTTCCTCCGCGTCCCTTGAAGGCCGCTCCTCTTGGATCTTGTTGAGCAGTTTGATCGCTCGCCCCCAATGTTTGTTGGTGAAGCAGTGCCATACGCCGTAGTGCATCACCTGTGAAGGGTACACTCTGAGTTTAGAATTCGTGATTTTTTTTTCAAATAATAAGAGGAATAAAGTAAGAGATGAATGCCCATGATGATGATGATGAATGATGAATCCCCGTATGAAGGAAGAAAGAATATACTAATGTAGGTAGTATTATTTTAAACAGGAGACATCTTTTTATCCACCAATGTCAGTTTTTTACCTCTGCCGCTCCCTCCCCCTCCCCTAGCCTCGCCCCTCTATCTTTTGTATGTATATCGTATACCACTAGATTGGATTGGTGAAGGGAATTGCTGTAGTTGTTGTGAAAGAAGAAGTGGAAGAGTATGGTGGATTTTGAAGGAAGTAACATGACTTTTTTATGATTAAAAATGGAATGGTAACTTTGGAGACGATAGTAGATGACCGTAGTGGAGGATGAGGATTTTTTTGGTGGGTGAAAATGGTATGGTAACCCCGCCTGCGCTAACGGGATACGCTGGCGGAGCACAAGTGAAGGGTGATTGATGAGAATGAAAACAGGCCAGTTAGCTCATCATGATGAATTCATCAGGAATTAACCATGATAGTTTCCAGGGGGAACCGCGAGGAAGTCGACTTGATTAAGTATATTGCTAGCAATTGGATTCCCAGTCTTTATTACTAACAATCCCTTTTCCCCCGGAAGGATGAGGATTATGCGGATACAGGGATGAGATGTGTACCGCACACCTTATTTCTTGCATTGTCGATATTAATCATTACCACCAGTCAATGGTATAGAAAAAATGTGCCATTATCTTAATTGGCCGTGTGGTCCCGGCATAAAATAGGCCACGCCTTCCTTTCCCGTGGGTGTCGTAAGAGACTACTAAAGGAGCTTAAAGTGGAGGGATGGGTAGTAGCGTTCTTCTTAAAACATCACCGAAAGCTCAACTGTGGTTGGCAACCCGCTTGGCGAGCGTGACAAGTGTGTTCAGCAGCGGACAGCTCAATAGATGATAATGGGTAAAGTAACCCCGCCTACTTTATCACTATACACTGGCGAGGCATCAGTGAGAAATGTCAGGTGAGGATGAAAGCAGGTCAGTTTTTTTTAATGGATGATAATGGAATGGCAACCCCACCCGCGTTATCGGTATACACCGGCTGGACACTAGTGAAGGATGATAGGTGAGGACGAAGTACATCAGTTAGCCCATCGTGACGAATTCAACAATTCACTATAGTTTCCAGGGGGAACCACGTGTAGGTCGACCTAATAGGGCATATTGGTAGCAATGGGGCTGTCAAACTCCATTGCTAACAATCCCTTTCCCCCCAAGCAGGTCAGTTAGCCCATCCGGACACGATAGTGGCACGGAGAGCGCGTGGCGTGGCGTGGCGTGGCGTGGCGTGGCGTGGCGTGGCGTGGCGTGGGACTCACCGCGGGCAGCTTGGGGTCGGCGGCGTCGGCGAACTTGAGCAGGTCGGCGTAGTTGTCGGCGGCGGCGGCGGCGAGCGCGGGCGCGGCGGGCGCCAGGCGGCGCAGGCGGCTGAGCGCGGCGCCGCGCCGGCACAGCGCCTCCGCCGCCCAGCCGCGCTGCCGCTCCTGCTCCCTGCCGCCACCACAACACAACACAACACTTCACATCACATCACGCCTCAACACTTCCGTTACAACCTCTCAACATATAACACAATATATACGCCTCAACACTTCATATAACACGAAATATACTGGGGAGAGCAAAAATTCCACCAGGTGGACCGTCAGCTTGTTTGCCATTCTAAGCTTCATAAAAAAAATCAATAATACATAATGAAGTGCTTTATATTATTCCCAAATTAGTGCACAATGTAGTATATATCATATATGTGTAAATATATTTGTTATTCATATATATTTATTTGTTTATATATGTAATTTTAGTATGTATGTATATCAATAATTAGTAGTACCGCATTCGTGTATTCTGACACTTGCCTATGGTTGACTGGGAGAGAATGCTTTTAGCATTAAGTCCACCATGTACACGTATTTGTACTAATGAATAAATAAATAAATGAAGTATCTACTCGCATAACAGAGATCGATTACATGTCTGTTTTAGATATTTTATTTTAATTATGTATTATTTATTTTACTTAATCGATACCTAACTGTGAATACAAATACAATATAAATATAATACATACATACATATATATATATATATATATATATATATATATATGAATGTTCGTGAATATGCGTGAATGTGTGTTGTATAATCCATGTAAAAGATGTGTTTTTTTTTTTTTATACAACTTAGAATAGCAAACAAACTGACAGCCCACTTGATGGAAAGCGGTAACCATCGCCTATAGACATGAGCAGTACCATGGACATAACAGAGTATACTGTTTCGCCCACGATACCCCCCATGCGTTACCATTCCTGAGAACTCAGATGTTATTCCTCTGTACCCAGTAAATTCACGCCATATCCCACCCTTCAAACCGAAACACAGCCATGCAAACACAACTGCTTCACGATTGAAACACAAATGGAACAGAGGTACCCAAGCAATCGACTTTTGTACAAAGTCTCCCTCTGTATTTATTTCAATATATTACAATTTTAATCAATTATAATGCTTGTTAAACGCTCACTGTTTGATTTTATTGGCGTCGCTGCGTATGTCATTCTTAATTCCGAGATTGGCGAGCAATTTGTCTTGATCTATCGCTTTGATCACCTGCAAACAAACATAAATTTAATTTATTAGTAATAACAGAATATAGGCATAGAGTGGGCGACCCCTTCCTTCCCCATGGGTATCGTAAGAGACAACCAAGGACATTAAATGGTCAAGGGACGGACAAGAACGTCCCTCTTAAAGCCTAACTACGGTTGCCAACTCCCCTGACAAGCGTGGCAACTACTAGCAAAACCCCCTTAAGTAGTGGCTCCCCCTGGAAACCATTATGGTTAATCTAGTGCAATTCATCACGATGGGCTAACTGACCTGCTTTAATCGTCACCTATCATCCCTCACTGGTGGCCCGCCAGCGTATACCGTTAGCGCAGGCGGTGTTACCATTCCATTATCTATAAAAAAAAAATGCCCATATCGGCGAGCAAGGGATTTTTTTTATTGGATGATGATAGAATGGTGACCATCCCCCAAAGCGCATATGGGTAAGGCAATAACGCTGGCAGGGAAGCAGTGAGAGATAATAAATAAGAATGAAACAGGTCAGTTGGCCCATAGTGACAAATTCATACAGAATGAGGTCTGATGGCCTTTATTTCTATCAATATACTCTCAATTCGACCTCCAAGCGGCCACGCAGCTTCAACAGGAAGAAAAAATACTGACGGTTGTACAATGATAAACTATCAGGATCAAAATCATATCACACAAACGTAAACTAATAGTGAATCTTTTAGAAGTGAATAACATATCTACATATATATTACAATATCTATATCTTGCAATATCTATATATCGCAATATTTATATATTGCAATATCTATTTATTGCAATACCAATATATATTTGTCCAATAACGGATATAATATCGCTGATCCATTATTATATAGTATCGAAATATAGAACGCAATCGGAATAAGTACGGATATCCAACTGGTACACGCGATATTAAAATTGATAATGATCTTTTTCCGCTACCAGTATCCAGAGGAATCTAATATATAGATATCAGAGCAGTAACCATCGATCTTTGTGGAAGAAGATTCTAGGCATGGGTAATAACCCTATAATCCTAGTAAAAGTGCCTAGAATCATCTTCCACAAATCCCTACATTATAAATTTGATAAATCAATCCAATTATACCTTATCTGATATAGCGATGAGCTGTTCACACCATGCTTTTGTAACATCTGGCTCTTCGTTGGCGTGAGGTAACCTAAAACAACAACAAACAATGATGGACTACTATCATGCACAATGGAAAACTTTGTTCAATATATACTCGTAATTTGTTAGTTATAACTGACTTTTAAATTATCATAAGTTCACTGGTTATTTGATTCGAATTATTTAGTTTAATCCCGCTACCATTAGTATGTGAGTGACTGCCGATGCCTTTTTCAAAAAAGAGCATGATAATGCCACTTTGCTGAAAGGGTAAAAATACGGCAACACAGTTGAAAATAAGTCATTCTCAATTTGGGCGTCGAACAGTGAAATATGTAACACAAAAGGTGCGTGAACAAAATGGCAGTCGGAGATTGATGACTAATATGAAAGGTTGTGGAACTTCTGCTAGTAATAGTGGTGGTCAATCTTCGAGCGTTGGCAGTCACACACATACTAATGTTAGAGGAATTAAACAAAATATTTGTAATCAAATAACCAAATACCCTTTATACTATAAATAAAGGATTTCTGCGAGCATGCATGAGACGCGATATGAAAGTGCAGGAAGTAAGAGATGTAAGGACTTAAGTTTTGATACTAGGTTCTCTGCCTACCTCGCTACATACATATAGTAAGGATTTACGAACATAAGTGACTCACTTCTTAGGATCCGTGGGGGGGTCCAGGGCATGTAGATAGGCGATATAAGTGCCCAGGTAGCCTGGGAACTTCTGCTGCATCTCCTCGTACAACTGCTCTAGTTTATCGCCTTCTGCAATCCGATAATACATTTGAAAACTGTGACAAGTACTCTATGACCTACCACATAAAGTCTATAAGAACTCATACATAGTCGTGCTATTAAATTATTGGGAGGGGAATTATTGCAAGTTTTTTTTTATACCACTGAGGTGGCAAACAAGCATACGACCCACCTGATGGTAAGTTGTTACCGTAGCCTACGAACACCTGCAATACCAGAGGCATTACGCGTGCGTTGCCGACCCTGAAGAAACCTCTTTACCCCCCTTTTGAAGAAGTGAAATAACATTTTTATAATTTTTTTTTTTTGTTAAATAGCGAGAAATGCAGTTATAATTGATTTCAATCAATCATTTCAATCGCCCTTGGTGACCCCCTGCTGGGTAAAGGTTCCTCTCAATTGCTTCCATACTACGTACCAGTCTTTGAGGAACCGGTCGTCATCGTCTCTCCATCACATAAAAGAGCTTCTGCAACTTTTTTTTTATTTATCAGGGAGCTAAGATGTGAATATTTTGGCCTACCTGTCGCTTACAATGCGACTTACATGTGTTGCCCACTCTCAGGAGTTTAATTCAGAATTGTCGTTTTTTAATTATTGTTAAAATTAATTAAGTATTTTTTATGGGTGATAATGGAATGGTAACCCCACATGCGCTATCGGTATACACCGGCGGGGCACCAGTGAAGGATGATAGGTGAGAATGAAAAGTAGGTCAGTTAGTCCATACATACATACATACATATCTGTCACGCCTGTCTCCCATTAGGGTAGGCAGAAACAATGGCACGCCAAATGCTTCGATTCAAACAAACCTCTTTCGCTTCTTCCACATTCATCAATCTTGTCATACACGTTCGTCGGTTACGGGTACTTTTAATTTGGTCCTTCTTCAGCACGTCGCCTATTTGGTCGACATACGTCCGTCTAGGGCGGCCCCTACCGACATCTCCATTCATTCTTGCTCAATAAATCTCTTTCGTAGTTCTTCTTTCATCCATCCTCTCCAAATGACCAAACCAGTTAGTCCATCGTGACGAATTCAATAAGAATTGTTCGCGATGGTTTCCAGAGGGGAATCAAGTGGAGGTCGATCTAATAGGGCATATTGCTAGCAATGGGACTGTCAAACTCTATTGCTAACAATCCATTTTCCTCCCAAGTGCGGGAGCGGCGTTAAGGCTAGAGCGACTGACCGAGCTTGGGCAGCCAGCCGGCAGCGAAGTCGCGGTAGGCGTCGGCGTAGTCGTCGGGCTTGGGCTTGTCCTTGGCGGCGCGGCGCGGCGGCTCGCAGGGCGCGTAGTGCAGCGCGTAGGTGTCGGCGCGGCGGCCCAGCTCGTCCTTGGCCAGGCTCAGCGACCCCGACAGCGCCTGCCCCACGCCCAGCTGCGACCGGCTCAGCCTGCGACACCACCCTCACAGTCACATCACGCTCATTACTATATACTTCAACCATGTACTTTCATGGTTATTTATACATATTTTTTTTAACGAGTGATGATGAAATTGTAATCCCACCCGCGCTATCGGTATACGTTGGCGGGGCACCAGTGAGGGATGATAGGTGACGATGAAAGCAGGTCAGTTAGCCCATCATGACGAATTCCACTAGAATTAACCACGATGGTTTCCAGGGGAAACTGCGTGGAGATCAACCTGATTGGGAGTATTGCTAGCAATGGGTCAATTAGACCCCATTACTAGCAATCTCATTCACACAAAAATACAAATCTTTCCTCTTTATAATATTAGTATAGATTGTTTTTTTAATACACTCACTTATCCGAAGGTAGAGCAGCTATGTACAATGGTAAGGTAGTCCCGTTGGACAGGGACGCTGTAACAAATTTCTTCCCTCCTGTTATCGCCTGCAAATACAAGAAGATGTTATATTAATCATTTGTAACAAATGATTAATTTTCATGATGATAGTGGTCTTGTTTCAGTAATAGCGTCTGCGCTAACGGTGTACGCTGGCGGAACAACAATGAGGGTAGGAATGATAGGTAAACATCGTGATGAATTCTACTAGAGTTAACCACGATGTTTTCAAGAGGGAATCGAGAAGAGGTCGATTTAATAAGAGTATATTACTAGTGATAAAGCTATTAGATGCCTGTTACTAAGAATCCCTTTCCCCCAGGGTGATAGTGGTTAGAAGGTAATGGTTTGGTTAATGTAATGATGAAATAGGGTGGTAGTATTTTAATGACAGAGATATGATAGAACTGGGTGGTGAGATGATAGTAATGGTTGAATGATAGTGAAGTAATATGAATGGTGGATATGATGATGATAGTGGGGTGGTGGTAATAGGGTGGTCTCAATGGGTTTGTGGTAGTGAGATAACAATGGTGAGGTGGTGCTTCAGTGGTAGTAGTAAAGTGGTGGTGGTAGTGATAGTAAAGTGTCGGTGGTAATGGTAGTGAGGTGGTGGTGGTGATCGTGAAGTGTCGGTGGTAATGGTAGTGAGGTGGTGGTGGTGATAGTAAAGTGTCGGTGGTAATGGTAGTGAGGTGGTGGTGGTTATAGTAAAGTGTCGGTGGTAATGGTAGTGAAGTGGTGGTGGTGGTGTTCGTGAGGAGGTGGTGGTGTAGCGGTGAGGGTGAGGCGGTGGCAGCACCTGCGAGTGCGAGCAGTAGACGTCGAGCGCGATGGTCTGCGCGAGGCGCTGCTGCACGAGCACGGGCAGCTCCTGCAGCCGCTCCAGCAGCGCGCGGTTGTCGTGCCGCACGTTCAGCCGCAGCACGTAGTCGCCCTTCTCCAACTTCACCGAGTACTGCACAGCGGAAGTGTTCAATTTAAACTGTTAATATGTTCTTTTTGAAGAGCCCATACTTCGATTTTATGATAAAAAGGATATGTCTGGGGAATACGAAGTTAGTATTTAGAGCGACTAATGTATGTAATATTATTTACTTAACACACAATTACATAATGGACAATTATAATCAAAGTTTTTTTTTTCTCTCGTATCATTTGTCTTATGTTTTTTCCGCTTATCTTTATCGAACATTGTCTAGGCACATTATTCTTTTATGCACATCACCTTTCAGCCGTCTGGTTAAAATAAGCCGCCTCTTCATTTCCCGTAGGTGTCGTAAGAGGCGACTATAAAGGAGCATAATGGCGGTTGCCAGCCCGCCTACCAATCGCAACAATTACTGGCAAAACCTCCCAAGGGGTAGGCCTATGTTCAACAGTGAACAGTTATCGTTTGATATCATCATCGCCATCATCAATACTACCTTTGGTAAAAAAACTAACGAACATCTGGCACCCACCTTGGACGGATATGCATCACCGACGGCCATCAACTGTTTACAGCTATTGTACAACATCCACATCTGAGACTCGAACTCCGACTCGTACAGTGTCTCAGACAACATCGTCACTATCGGCGTTACCTGTTGAAATACGTTTTTTTTTTATTCAACTTACTTTTTTTTTTTTTTTATACAACTTTATAACTATCAGGGGGCGATTAGTGATCGATACTGATGCCAAAAATGCAATCAGTAAAATTTTTGTCTGTCTGTCTGTATGTTCGTTATAGAAACAAAAACTACTCGACGAATTTTAACGAAACTTGGTACAATTATTCTTCATACTCCTGGGCAAGTTATAGTATACTTTTCATCACGCTACGATCAATAGGAGCAGAGCAGTGGAGGGAAATGTTGGGAAAACGGGAGAAGTTACTCTATTTTTAAGCTTCCGTCGCGTGCGCAGCCTTAATGGCTAATTTTTAAAATGTAAAAATGTCCACCCGTGCAAAGCCGGGACGGGCCGCTAGTATTTACATAAATTTGTTATTTACATAGTGTTTTCCATTTTACAAAATATATATAGTATTGTCTCACCTCAGTAGCTTTCGCAATATGGAAGTTGTACGTATTCAGAAGTTGGTATATCTGTCTGGCTGGCGGGATTACATCTCGCGCAGTCAACGATATTATTTTAGATTCCGTTGGCCTGCAAATAAAAAAAGTTTACATATTATTTCAGTACATAAAAGTATATATGAAAGTTTAAATGGCTATGTTTCGGTTTGAAGGGTGGAATATGGCGTGAATTTACTGGGTACAGAGAAATAACACCTGAGTCCTCAGGAATGGCAACGCATGGGGGTATCATGGGCGAAACAGTATACTCTGTTATGTCCATGGTACTGCTCATGTCTATAGGCGACGGTTACCACTTTACATCAAGTGGGCCGTCAGCTTGTTTACCATTCTAAGTTGATAAAAAAAATATATTTTGGTCATGTGGTCCCGGCATAGAATAGGCCACCCCTTCCTTTCCCGTGGGTGTCGTAAGAGGCGACTAAGGGAGGGCGAGGGATGGACAGCAGTGCCCCTCCTAAAACATCTCCAAAACCTAACTGCAATTGGCTTAGCAACTACTGACAACCCCCCCCCCCCCCTCGCCCCAAGGGGGAGGCTTAAGTTCAGCAGTGGACAGTTAAAGGCTGATATGATAATGACGATTATATTATCTGTAGTAAGGATTAATAACTGCCTCCATTTGGCAGTCGCTTAAAAACGTGGCTAAAGTTTAACCGCGGTTACCAATCCGCCTGCCAAGCCTGGCAACTACTGACAAACCCCCTCAAGGGCTTGGGGGAAAGGAATTGTTAGTAATGGAGACTGAGAATCCCATTGCTAGCAACATACCCAACCAGGCTGGCAACTCGACCTCCTCGTGATTCTCCCTGGAAACTATCATGGTTAATTCCTGATGAATTCATCATGACGGGCTAACTGGCCTGTTTTCTATCTCATCTATCACCCGTCACTGGTGCTCCGCCAGCGTATCCCGTTAGCACAAGCGGGGTACCATACCATTTTCAACCATCAAAAAAAAACCCCTCAAGGGGGAGGCTTATGTAGCAATGGACAGTTAAAAGCTAATATGATGACAATTTATTTACACTGTAATCCGCCTGTGGTTATAAAGTTACCATCTTTATCAAAATAGATATACATATGTTAGCATATTAAAAATGATTTATTTAATTTGTAAGATGCATGTCTTAGCCTATCTGATGACAGGCTCGGAATACTTGAACTGGGCAGTGGGCTGCGGCTCCTGAACCCGCAGGATAATTGGAACAGGCGAACTCACCTGACGACAGGCTCGGAGTACTTGAGCTGGGCGGTGGGCTGCAGCTCCTGCAGCCGCAGCGCGGAGACGTTAAAGGTGCGGATCCCCTCGCTGGCCGCGAACACCAGCCGCGATCCGAAATCCGGCTTCAGTCCGTGAAACTCGATTGTGTAGCTCATAATCAAGTCGCCAATATTAGCCCAATACTTCGCTATCACAACCTCTATTAGGACTCCGCCCTGAAACGTACATTATTATCTTTTGATCTCTGATCAATTGTGTGCATGACACTTAAAAATTAATACACAAGACGTATAGAGAGACAGTGTATTAAACTGAAGAGAAGAGAGACTACCAGAGGGAGACTTTGTACAAAAGTCGATTGCTTGGGTACCTCTGTTCCATTCCTGTTTCAACCGTGAAGCAGTTGTGTTTGCATGGCTGTGTTTCGGTTTGAAGGGTGGGATATGGCGTGAATTCGCTGGGTACAGAGTAATAACATCTAAGTCCTTAGGGATGTATTCCTAACACTCCAACACATGGGGGGTATCATGGGCGAAACAGTATACTCTGTTATGTCCATGGTACTGCTCATGTCTATAGGCGACGGTTATCACTTTCCATCAGGTGGGCCGTCAGCTTATTTGCCATTCTAAGTTGTATAAAAAAAAACTACCAAATTATATTTTCGAAATCCATTTAAACAAATGTCTACCACAGTCTTGGTCAGTTGTACCAAACCGCCACTGGCAACCTTCGCGCGGATACAAACTGTATCCATCAGTAGAAAACTAATCAAAGACCTATTAGAATATCCAATCCATTTAAAACTGTTCTACCACTAAAACTTGCTAAATTTTTAAAGTGCAGCAAAATATCTAGATCAGCACCTAAACTGATCTCATGATACTTACCACCACCTGAAAAGGCAGCAAAGTAGGTGCTTCCGATGAGACGTTGACCATTTTCTGCGTTTCGTGGCAACGGCAACTGCGGCGCGGCAGCAGCTGCATTGTATGCACCAGAAACCGGCCGCTATTGTTGTGGTCCGTCGTCCACATTTTCAGTACACCCCAAGTCGCTCCTTGTGGGGCTGGGAGCACAACAATCGTTGAATATCAAGTTTTGCTTCACGATACTAATAAGTAAATATGCAGGGAAGTGGTCAGTAACGAGGACTAACTGTCCTAAAACTAAGAATATACTTTATCTGGTCTACTTTCACGTGATCCCCTGAAAGATATCATGGTTAGACCCTAGTGAATTCGTTACAATAGATCAATTGATTTGTGAGGATATATCGTACCCTATTCCTCACTATTAACTTGCCAGTGTATACCTTTTTTTTTATACCACTGAGGTGGCAAACAAGCATACGGCTCACCTGATGGTAAGCGGTTACCGTAGCCTATGAACGCCTGCAATACCAGAGGTATTACGCGCGCGTTGCCGATAGTGCAGATAGGTTATTATTTCCTTATCATCCATTTTGGAACTCACGCATAAAAAAGTGCCTCTTGATATTCGCGGGCTTGAAGAGTACATCGGTGGCGGTGAATTGCGGCGCGGCGGGCGGCGGCGGCAGCGGCGTGGGCTGCAGCACCGTTACCGGCACGCGGAACACTGGGCCCTTCTCCGGGCACGTCACGTCGTAAGCGTTCAAGCTGCACAGGCACGGTATACACTCAGAACGAGACCCATATTAATAAACCAATCTTAAGCGTAGGAAAAGCGCAAGTCTTATAAAGATTCATGATTGTTTGGTGATATTTGGTGTAGTTGGTGTGTGAAGTGTGCGGATTATGTACTGTATGTGCACCCATATGTGTACGTTGTATGTATGTATGGGTTGTGAGGGACGGGCGTGCGCGTACGTTTGGCGGCGTGTGAGAGCGTGCGAGTAGCGACCTGGTGAAATGCGCGCCGGGCGGCAGCGCGGCGGTATCGAGGCGAAGCGCGATCGGGCGCGCGGCGTTCATGAGGTCGAGGTGCGCGGGCGCCGCCAGCCACGCCGCGCCGCACGACAGCGCCAGCCGCATGCCGAACGACAGCTGCTTCGACATCACCGCCTTGTCTGCAACGCACCGGACGCTACATAAGATTTTATTGGCATCCGCTCGTTACTCCCACACGCTCGTCTCGAGGGCACTCGTCTAATATCTCACGTAAGGCGACCGGTCGACCGTCGTGTTCAATACGAGTGTGGAGATTCGAGCAGGTAAATGAACGACAGATCTCTCGAGCCAATCGTATAACTAGCAATCTAGTTAGTTTAGATTTGTTTCAGTCGAATCTACTTATTTAAGTTATATTTAAATGTTTCCTTTAAAGTTAAATTATTTCTAATAGATGACATTAATAGTAACCGTTAACACTTTGTTTTACTACATGGCAAGGTCTGAGTAAGAATTTAACAACAATGCAGACTACAATAGCTACAAATATACCAATTCTAATTATGAACTATGAATGAACAACCAATGACTGTGCTTAGCAGCAGAGCGGTAATGGTAAGTAATAGAGTAATATCTTGAATTTATAACCAATTTTTTGACAAACAACATGTTAACAAACTTGTTTACAAACTCTTTTAATAATCATATTATATCTTTTCACTGCTAGGTTCCGAATATTGTTATCTATTGTATAGAATCCGCAAGAAACAAAACTTACTTTTTTTTTTATCCCCGTTCACATTATGTATATTAATATTTTTACAAATTTTACTTACAAGTTTTCAAGATAATCGAGTCCAGATTTTTCAAAATCACATTCAAAAGTTCATTATTGTCATTCGCAGATGCAGACACGATTGTTATATTTAATTGTCATGAAAACTTAAAAGACCTTTTTTCTATTAGCAGCATCCCTCTTAAAATACCACCAAAAGCCAAACTGCAGTTGCCAACCCATTTGTGAAGCGTAGCAACTACTTGCAATATAATGAGTGAGCTAAACATAGTCAATTACGTTATAGTGAACAATTAACGACTGGAATAATAACTATTTATGATAAAACAACATATTATTTGCTCTAGTAATAGTTCCGATATGTGTAGAGGTACTGCTACTATGAGATATTACGAGTGGTAATTTAGAATGGTAATTATCGTATCTACTGTCACTTGGCAACCCTAAATTGCAGCTAATTGAGAGCAGACGACCAGAGGGAGACTTTGTACAAAAGACGATTGCTTGGGTACCTCTGTCCGATTCGTGTTTCAACCGTGAAGCAGTTGTGTTTGCATGGCTGTGTTTCGGTTTGAAGGGTGGAATATGGCGTGAATTTACAGGGTACAGAGGAATAACACCTGAGTCCTCAGGAATGGCAACGCATTGGGGGTATCATGGGCGAAACAGTATATTCTGTTATGTCCATGGTACTGCTCATGTCTATAGACGACGGTTACCACTTTACATCAGGTGGGCCGTCAACTTGTCTGTCATTCTAAGTTGTATAAAAAAAAGACGACCCAGATTCATAGTAAATTTTCACTTTCCATTAATTTAAACCAAGTTTCATTGAAAAGCCTTCTATTTGTAGGGGTTAACAGAGGAATTTTAACCTAAAAACAGACTTACCGTGCTCGTCGTCGTGGTAGTGCAGGAATTTCGGCTCGATGGTGACGCCGATGTCCTTTTGAGGATCGTCGGGACGCGGCCGCAGCAGGATGCCTTTGGAGTTGGCGGGCCCGCACTGTATACTGAACGTTACGTCCCGCTCAAGGACATCGTGGTACGACGTCAGCAATTCGAATGCCTGCCCGGTATACCATTTGACATTACCACCTCCACAGATGAATGTGGATCTTAAATCAGAGGGTCTACCATGAAATGTTTTCCGAGATTTCGGGTCCGAACGAAATACAAATTTGATGTTAGAATTACATAATAGATACCGTTTAAAAATATTGAAAATACTAAAATTACATTCCCTTGGATTTTTATAGTAGGATTTATGACGAACGAAATATTAAATCGTTTTCGGTATGAATGTAATAAAGAAATTGAGTCTGAAAGTTTAAAATTTAATTTCATGGTAAACCCAAGCAAACGACTTTTGTACAAAGGCTCCCTCTGGTAAAATAGGCAATCCCTTCCTTTCCTGTGGGTGTCGTAAGAGGCAACTAAGGGAACTTAATGGAACATCAGTTAGCCCATCGAGTCGAATTGCACAAGAATAAACCACGATGGTTTAAAGAGGGAACCATGTGGAAGTCGACATGAGTATATTACTAGCAATAAGACTTAGACCCCATTACTAACAATCCCTTCCCCCCACCTGTTTACAAGTAAGGCGAAAAATATTTTCGGTTTGTACATTCATCACTTCAAGCATTATCCGTCCATTGCTGGACATAGGCCACCCCCAGACTGTCATAAGGAACAGTCTTAAACCACCTGCATCTATTAACTCCCTGCAATGCATTTGAGGTCGTCACTCCATCTAGTAGGGGCGTCACTGTTTTTACCCATACGTTTGTCGGTTCTTCGAGCTATGGTGACCAGTCCATTGCAACTTTTTTTTTTTTTTTATTTTTTTGTTTTTACAACACAGGGGGCAAACGAGCATGCGGCTCACCTGGTGGTAAGTGACTACCGCCGCCCATGATCACCCACAACACCAGCGGCGTTGCAGGTGTGCTGCCGGCCAACTTCAGCTTGCTCATCCTTCATGTCAGGTTTATCCATTCATTCACCTGCATTTCACAATTTTCCCAACCTAATATATTAACTTATTTATACATACATAACAATATTACCTTCTCTATGTTAACCAAGCCAGCACCTTGCGCCCACGGCTCCACATGGCTGAGATACGTGGCCGAGTTCTCCAGCATCCGTTTTATTGAGTACGGTGAATAAGGTATATCTTTGTCTTTTAGACCGGAAATTAAGGCCGCTAGGAGAAATAAAACAAATAATCAATACATACATTCATTATATTACTTGAACGATGTAATTTAGTCTTGATCCTAGTTACTTAAAAAAAAATACCGAATTTTTTAAACACAAGGAATATACCAAATGATATTTGTTTAAGGGAAAAACGGGACGCTGCTGCCCATCTCTCGGCTTCCCTTAGTCGCCTCTTACGACACCCACATGAAAGGAAAGGGCCTTCTATGCTGAATCTTCTTATTTCATCATTATTTGTCCACTGCTGGACATTAGCCTCCCCCATAGACTGTTTGATCGATCGAACGATCCTAAACCACCTGCATCCACTGACTTCCTGCAATGCATTTCAGGTCGTCACTCCATCTAATGGGGGTCGTCCTACACGGCATTTGCCCTTACTGGGTGTCCACTCAAAACCTTTTTTCCTCTTATTTACTTAACATAAATCCATGAATATACATAACATACGAATACAACCTGCTATAGTGCAATATTGTTATGTAAAATTATACTTATGTATAGATCAAATAAAGTGTCAACTGACCAACGACACCAGCAACGTGCGGAGCGGCCATTGATGTTCCATTCATCAGCTGGCAACTCCTCAATGTGAATCTGGGGACAAATCCAACTGTTTTATTACGAATTCTATTCACAGATTTAATAAAAAAAAATAGGAAGAGAATTTGTAAGACTGACATTCTATTGAAGTATCTGGTAACAATGGGACAGTGTAGAGCGCGGCGCAGTATACCTGATGGCATTGCAATGCGAAGTGTAGCGTACCTGACAACAGTGTAGTGTACGGTGCAACGTGCTTGATGACATTGTAGTGCGCAGTAACTGGCGATAGTGTGTTGCACGGTGCAACGTATCTGATGACATTGCAGTGCGTAGTGTAGCGTACCTGGCGATAGTGTAGTGCACGGTGCAATGTACCTAATGACATTGCAGTGCGTAGTGTAGCGTACCTGGTAATAGTGTAGTACACGGTGCAATGTACCTAATGACATCACAGTACGCAGTATAGCGTACCTGACAATAGTGGAGTGCACGATGCAGCATACCTGTTGATTTTACAGCGCGCAGTATAGCGTAACTGGTGATAGTGTGTTGCACGGTGCAACGTACCTGACGACATTGTAGTGCGCAGTGCAGTGTACCTGGCAACGGTATAGTGCGCGGTGTGGTGTAGTGTGGTGTAGTGTGGTGTAGTGTAGTGTAGTGTAGTGTAGTGTAGTGTAGTGTAGTGTACCTGGCGACGGAGGCGATGGCGCCGCCGGGCGCGCAGACGGCGAGCCCGAGCGCGCCGTCGGCGGCGGGCCCGCGCGAGCTCCAGCTGAACGCGCCGCCGCCCAGCCGCGCGCGCATAGAGTACGCCGCCGACATCATCTCGGGCGACACGTACGCGCCCACACCTGCCGACCGCCACCAGCCACCATATAGTCCAATACAATACAGTATATATTGCACTTGTAAGTTACATATACAATAATGTATTTATAAGTGTTGTGAACAAGGGTGGACTTGTCTCTGAAAAAAATCTCTTCCAGTCAACCCAATACAATTAGAAAGCATTTCGTTAGCGGACAGGTGAAGTGCTACAACTGTTAATAGCTGCCTACATGTAATATTGCACAATGATTATTCATAATTTCAAAGTGAACTTTGCTCCGTTCCCTAATTTGTAAGTGACCTAAATTAATCAACGTAACTTAAATGTTTTATCTTACACTCATTCGCGATACAACCTCTGTGCTAGGCATTCGATTCAATATACAAGTTTACATTTTATATCTTGAATTGTTCTCGTTATTTACGAGTACCGCCTCCACAAACCGCATCGAGTCTTCATAACAACTTCAGCCAAACTGGTGACCCCGACGTGATTTCCGTGAGCGCATATCTCTATCGGCTTTCCACAAGCGAATTTAACCGATTTGAGATTTCAAGAAGCGTATAGTCACGGGAATCCAATTCTCAACGTGATAGCTGTACCCGAATCATCATGACCACTCCAGTACCTTCCACATCATTGTTTCCTTGCACATCATCATCACTTGCCAAATTACAAGCACAGATAGCCGAATTAAGTTTACAAGTCGTCAAATTACAAAGGTCGAGATCAAGAAGTCGAAATTATTACGATTATCGCCCGCGGTTCAATAGCCGCTCTACGTCACGCGGTCCACATAGACACCGTTATGCTACTATCACAGCTGTTTTCGCCATAGAACTCAAAAATGCGCAGACACGTGCACCTGGAAAAACAATACTACGAATAAGGAAAACCAGAATCGGTGCAGTCAGAGGCAGATATCTGCACCATCTTGCCCACCCACCGCCTATGCGTGACCGACTTTCACAGTGGCCTACGTTTTTTGATGGACACAGGGACCAATGTATCCGTGTTACCCGCAATCAAGAAACCGTACGCAAATAATGAATGCGATAGTTACAAACTCTATGCCGCTAACGGCAGTGAAATCAAGACTTACGGAACTAAGAAGTTAGTCATAAATTTGAAATTACGAAGACCATATTCATGAACATTTATCATAGCTGATGTGAAACAGCCAATACTCGGTGCCGATTTCCTTAGTCATCATAAGCTGCTTGTAGACGTGAATGGACGAAAACTAATCGACGCAGTGACCAATCTGAACGTTGTTGGCTCTATGGTAATGAAAAGGGGCGCTACAATTAAGACTATCGACGCCACAAATCCATATTACGATCTGTTATCGACTTATCCTGATATGACGAAACCTGTGTGCTACAAAGACACTCCCAAACATAGCGTGATGCATCATATAGAGACTACTGGTCCAACTGTTTTCGCTCACGCTCGCACGCTTCTTCCTGAAAAGTACGAACGGGTAAAGACGGAATTGAATCGAATGATTACATGCAACAAATTGGTATATGTCAACCTTCCAAGAGTTGTTGGGCAAGCCCTCTGCACGTCGTGGCTAAAAAGAACGGAGATATACGGCCCTACGGTGATTATCGAAGTTTAAATGCCAAAACCAAACCAGATCATTATCCCATACCCAGAATTCACGATTTCACCTACCTTATGGCGGGAAAGAAAGTATTCTCAAGTGTCGATTTTCAACGAGCTTATCATTTCATACCGATAGCTCCAGAAGACCTAGAAAAACAGCTATAATTACTCCTTTCGGTCTCTATGAATTCCCACGAATGATGTTCGGATTACGTAACGATGCTCAGACTTTCCAGCGTTTTATGAACAATGTCGTATTCCAAGGACTAGGAAAAAAGCTGTGAGTAGTAGTAACAAGCAAAGACGGTTACGACACCTTGATTTTATAAGCCAATTTACTACGACCATAGAACAGATACAAGGATCTCAAAACATAGTCGCGGATTCCTTATCGAGAATCGAACAAATAGATATTCCATCGCGGATAAACTACTACACAGTTAAATAAAATATTAAAATATATAATACCTACCTACTTATACAGTATTAACAACATTGGGTTACTTTATGAACAATTAAACGTGAAGGTGAATATAGAGCTATAGGTGGGAACGAAAATGGAAATAGAAATGCTAAAATATGAAGCCATATCTATGTTCATGCGTGCTGCACTATAAAATTGTTGGTTTACTAAGAAATGTAATATATGTTAATTTAACACTACACGTACTAGGTCATTGTATCGTCTCACCAGTTTTGTATTAATTTCCTAAATTTGTACTTAATTTAGAAGATCATTTTTATTTCCCAATTTTGTCAGTTATAACCGAGCCATTTGAAATATACATTTCCACAAACCTCGTCTCAATACAACCTCAACACTGATGGATATGGAGAGTAATGGATAAAGATGAAGGTGGAAATAGAGAGACAGCGAAGGAAAAGATGGAAATGTTTATGATAAGGAGTACGTAGGGTAATGTACTGGTAGCGATGGTGGCATACGTACCGATCAGCACGGCCTGCTCAATGTCGGGCGGCGAGCCGACGGTGGCGAGCGCGGGCCCGTGGTTGCCGGCCGACACCACCCACGACACGCCGTACTCGTTCACCACCGAGCATATCGTCTCACCCACGCGCCTGCAACCAAACACATTACAAATACCTAACTTACACGCTTGTGTTGCAGTACAGTGAACGCTCTACATAAGCAACTCATTTGAACCACTTTCAATAAAAAGAAAATCTTATTGGGAAAAGTTACTTATAGAGGAAAAAATGAGTATAAAAATACTTACCGTCTGGAAAATATTTTTATTTATTTCTTTCACTAACTAAGCTGAGTAGAATAAATAAAAGATAAAGAATGTTGCATATAGAGAGGTTGCTTAAATAGAGCGTTCACTGTAATAATAATTTCACATTGTAGTAATTTACAAGAGAAATGAAAAACCTAATATTTTACTGAATCATATGTTATTCTGTGGAAGTCCATATCACTGCTCTCACGTCTCATGCTTTCTCTGATTTTTTTCTTTTACATTTCGATATGAGTTGCTTCAGGTAAGATTTTGACATTCTGCTATTAATTCATAAGTCTTTTTGCTGTATTTCTTTTTTTCCATGTTTTGCCTTCCTCTAGTCGATTCTTATATAAAAATAGTGGAATTTAAACAATTCCATACTTGACAATGTTTGAAATAGGTTATAGAGAAGCAAATAAAAAATATATACAACTCACCCGGCGTTGGACCAATGCGCGTGTTCGCCGTAACTCATATTGATCACGTCGATCTTCATCTTCTTGGATAACTCCATGATTTTGATACAAGCTCTGATTAATGCAGTGCCGGTCTCCATTGAACCGAGCCTGCTATCCCCGATCGTGAGTGAGATGATCTTGGCGCCGGGTGCCACGCCATTCTTCTCGGGCTCATCGGCAAAGTAGCCAGATGCAATCGCTGCTACATGCGTCCCATGGGTAGCTGTGTGGTAAAATTTTTCATTAAGAAATAATTGAAAAACATTTGCAAAATAACCTTTAGTTAGAATTATCATGTCAGAACCCAAATTCGTTATCAAATCCTGATCTAAGAGGACACTATAATTAAACTGTCTTATCACTGGCATCATTATAGGACATTATGCATTATATTAGTAAAATTCTCTAAAATTTTGTTTCCAAGATCAGATAAATATTGCTTACCAGAAATACTATAGCAATATAAATACAATAAATACATAAACAAACTTTATAAAAAAATATATAGACTTCAAAACAATAATGATAAAACCCAAAAATAAATTAATATTTGACTTCTAATTTCCAGAACAAAATCTGTTTAAATTTGATGCCAAGTCCAACGAGAACAAGAGCAATAGCTCACCATGTATTATATATTATCACTAGGTGAGCAATATATCACACTCAACTAAAAAAAATAACTTTATATATATATATATATATGAAGTAGGTTAAAAATTCAATTTATCAGCAAGGATTGGCATCTACAACAATAACTTACAGCACATGCCAACCACCTCGAGCGTTTGGCCCTCGTCATGTACATTGATGCTGATTGTCATCTCGTCAAGATCCGTCAAGTGGGCGTGCTCGTGCGTCACGCTGTACTCGCCCAGCAAAGGCCCTGATGCAAGGTCACCACACTCGGATGTATCGATGCATGCCCTGAAGTAACATATTCATGGCATCAATAGGGGGGAAGGGATTATTAGTAATGCAGACTACCAGTTATATTGCTAACAATATATGTTATCAGGTCGACCTCCACGTGTCTCCCCCTTGAAACCATCGTGAACAATTCTTGTTGAATTCGTCACGATGGGCTAACTGAACTACTTCATCCTCACCTATCATCCTTCACTAGTGTACCGCCGGTGTATACCGCTAGCGCAGGTGGGGTTACCACTCCATAAGGTCGAACTAATAGGGCATATCGCTAGCAACGGGGCTGTCAAACTCCATTCCTAACAATCTCTTCCCCCCCCCCCCTCATCAGGTGAATCGTCACCTAGTTTACCATTCTAAGTTGCATAAAGAAAAACAATCGAGGCTTAACGCCATAAAAAAAACTTCACAGGTTAATAGTACTTATAAACCTGCTTTTTTATTATTGTGTATTTAAAATTTCATATTGATCATTTAAGCTGATTTGGCACTATAAGTTAACAAAGAAGCAAAGGGGGGGGAAAGGGCTTGTTAGTAATGGAGACTGAGAATCCCATTGCTAGCAATATATTCAACCAGGTCGACCTCCTTGCGGTTCCCCCTGGAAACTATCATGATTAATTCCTGATGAATTCATCATAATGGGCTACCTGGCCTGTTTTCATCTTCATCCATCACCCTTCACTGGTGCCCCGCCAGCGTATCCCGTTAGCGCAGGCGAGGTTATCATTCCATTTTCATCCAATAAAAAAAAACAGATTCACATTTATAACATAGGGAAGGGTTGAACTTACCGCCACACATCACCGTCGTGAAAGAGGACACAGTCATATGTGGGACCGAGATCTGTGTATTTCTTTTCTGCATTTTGCAACACCTCCACTCTGGCCTCTAGCTCCTCCTTCATGAATTTGTCTTCAGAACTTAAAGTTGGATTTTTAGACACTGAAAGAATATAATTTTGGAATCAGCATACATCTTTTACAACTACTGCTGATCTTGAAAAATTTTGAGTAGCAATGACAATTATTGGCAATAGCCAATCATTGTTTAATAATAATATAAACAAATAAATAGATTTTTTTTTTTGATGGGTGTAAATGGAATGGTAACCCCGCCTGCGCTAACGGGATACGCTGGCGGAGCACCAGTGAAGGGTGATAGATGAGAATGAAAACAGGCCAGTTAGTCCATCATGATAAATTCATAAGAAATTAACCATGATAGTTTCCAGGCGGAACCGTGAGGAAGTTGACCTGGTTGGGTATATTGCTAGCAATGGGATTCTTAGTCTCCATTACTAACAATCCCTTTCCCTCCTCAAAATACATAGATGTTGATCACATTGTATGAGGCTTTTATACTCTCTAAAGTAAGACAGGAAAATCCTTTAAGTACCTTTGATACTTTTAAATTATTACTGCACAGTGAAGTCTGCTATCAGTTAACTGAGTCTTAGTGTATTGTGCTACATCATGCCAATTTTTATTTTAATGTTATTATATATCAAATAAGGAATAACACAAATTAATCATGTTTTTTATTGTGAATGGCGTATTGCAACTGATGATAGGTTATGCATTAGTACCCTACATAATAATAGCTTTTTCCATAAAAAGTTATAACTGTGAGGGTGGTTCTAGAAAAGCTCTGACACATTGAATTATTAATATACAACAAATGTAATAACTCTAGGTTTAACATGTTATTTGGTTAATAAAGCTCAACTAATTATGAATTCATTCCGACCCTTAGTCTTGAGAAACTGTGACACGAGTGTGAGTTTAACTGTGCACCTCGCCTCAAAGATAAAAAAAAAGGCTACAACTAAGGGTCCCGAATGAACCTGAAACTAGTTGAGTGTACTCAACCAAATAACATTTAAACCTATGGTTATTACATTAAAATACAATGTGTACATACAAAACTTTTAACAATAAAATGGCCAATTTTATTTACTACAAAATTACTCCATAGTCACCGGGGGGAAAGGGATTGTTAGTAATGGAGACTGAGAATTTCATTACTAGCAATATACCCAACCAGGTCAACTTCCTCGCGGTTCTCCCTGGAAACTATCATGGTTCATTCCTGATGAATTCATCGTAATGGGCTAACTAGCCTGTTTTCATTCTCATCTATCACCCTTCACTGGTGCTCCGCCAGCATATCCCATTAGCGCAGGTGGGGTTACCATACCATTTTCACCCATCAAAAAAAAAACTCCATAGTCACTCATAAATTATTACTATTTTATCATTATACCATAAGAGACTTGGCATTGGGAGAATAGAACTAATATTACAGTTTATATAGCTGATAAAAACAATAACTCTGTTAAAGCAATAAACAAAAAAATCTAAATTTACACTAACAACTTAATTCTGACTTAGCCCATATTGAGCTAAATTATAAATTTGCTGCTTATATTGCAGGTTTTCACTTTAAATTTATTTTACATATTTTTTTTTTTGTGATTTCTTAGCCATTCTAAAGTAGCTAGCCATTCTGATGATGTAAATCTCTATACTTACCAACTTCAGACTCAAACTCCTGTAATTTTTTATTAGCTTCTGCAAAAGCGGGCTTATGTCCTACATCCCATATGTGCTCTTTTCGGTACTCCTGTATCCTTTCTTTTACCTTTGAAGGGTACATTGAGAATGGGTACAGTACACCAATGCGATATTCACCACTCGGATTCTTCCATGTTTCTGGGACCTGTAGAAACATTAAAAATTAGTATTCATAGTCCAATATTCACATACAATTCTTTTGTGTACCAGATATTTTTAACAATTTATAAAGTGATTTCTCATTTGACTGTTTACATAGATAGACTTTTAAAATATTTACTTTATAACTTAAAATTTATAAATTTTTATTCCTATATATTCCTAACCCATTCATATTTCTATAAGCTCTCATGAGGAAGTATGTACATATTTCTAGTCATAACCTACTGTAACTGTTATTTTTATACAATATGTTTACAAGTAATATTGACCCAATCTCTAATTGAAAGTCCATAAATAGATATTCCAACAGTAAATTTATTGATGTTTTGTAAGTATACGTATTTTGAAACATATTCCGTAAAGAACAATAACTATAGGTACATACTACAATTTGTCAAATACAGCTGTACGCTTGACGTTTAAAAGATGTCAATGACCTTTTGGTAACAGCTGATAAGATAGCTTTGCGAGCCTGAACACCATGAAACAGAAAAGCTTTCGGCTGTCTCATGAGAAACATTAAATTTAATATTTACCGTATATTATAAATAATAATAGATAATTTACTTTCAGTTTTCGGCCTGTCAGGCCGGTAATGCATCCATCGGTATCTTTTTTTATAACCGTGCTTGTATCTACATCGCCGGAACCGCTACAGTCAAATCTCTCTATAACCTTTGTTTCTCCCGTACTAGTCACCTGAAATTACATAAAAAAACTATAATAATGCACTCAAAATAACAGATATTGCTAAACAAACCATGACAAGACAATTTTTTTACCTGCAAACCAGGGGCTGCTGGATCCACACCCGAGTCAAAAATAGCAATAACTGTACCTCTGCCATCGTATTTTGGATATTTATTTAAAAAGGAGACAACCCCTGTCTCTTTTTTCGGCAATAAACCCCAAACAGGAAAATCACAGTCGATCGGTACGTCTTCCATTTTTGATGATTCGATACCTAGTGTTATCATTATAAAAAAAAATATTGTATTTTAAAAAATATGATGTTGAAAACAAAAATATTTCAAAACGTAGCCGTTACGTAGGACTGAAACTTAAAATTAAAATTCTCTGTCTATTTGAACATTTGTAATTGACACTTTTTTATTTATTTTATCGCTGACATGACGACATTATTCTTATTTATTAGCTCTTTGATTATTGACTTTGGTTATTTTAATTACAGAGATAAATATATACTGCTACTATATAAAAAAAACAAAAATAGTTTGTTTATTTGTATATATGTAGTATTTTAGTATGGAGAAGAATATAGCAAAGACAGTATATATTTATCTCTCCAATTAAAGTAACTAAATCACGTATCAAATAGATAATTACGGACATAATCATTATATGCCTGTAATAGATAATTATACTAAAAAATAATAACAAATAAGTAACTAACAAGTTTTTAAACACGTGGAAAAATAATTTAAACAATTCTGTTTTTAAATTTAATTCGAGTTTCGAGTTGTTTGTAATATTATACCTACATAAGTACATAAAACTTTAGATTTATACAGTACAATAACAAGTATGTTGTAATCAAATTTACCATAGTGACGAAAATATAAAATTGTAAGTACTTATAATGAAATGCAGAAAATAATTAGATACCTATGTAATACTCAAGTACTAAAAATTTTCTTACTATTATTTTTTCTTTCATATAAATGTTGGAACATTTTTTCACTTTCTGGCAACACAGATACTACCGTCACAGTACTTGTCATTCTTTGGAGTGTAGTAGTTTTTGTGTATTTTGTTCTATATAATAAAATGTGGTACGAAATCCTGCCGAGTTTCTTCATTATCACAGCCGCAATAGGATTGCCCGGATGGGGTCTTTATCACATTCACAATTTAACTCTAGGAAACGTAAGTACAAATCACTAACCTGTTAGATAACACCCTCATCTGACTACAGACTGGAAGCTCAGAATACGTACGAGAAGAAACCACCACAGATAAAAATATGTCAGTGTTATCTTCCATTTATATTTAAAACTAACTTTTCGACCGCTACTTTATACGCGTGGATTTCAGAAGCAGAATATCCAATGAAATATAACATTTTTAGGTGGGGTATCAAAATAATACTCTATTTTTTATGTTACACCATTAGTAACACAACGGATGTCGGAACAAACATGCAAACAGAAAGAAAAGATTCTAAAAATTACCATCTTCATTTGCTCTTATGATCCCTTATATCATAATAATTATATCAGCCATTACATGCCCAATGCTGAGCATTAACCTTCCTCATAGATTGGCATAATAAATTGTCCAAAGCCACCTGCATTCACTGACTCCCTGCAATATATATCAGGTTGTTGCTCCATTTAGTATGGGCGTCTTCCCCATTGTTTATAGATTCTAAACTCATATTTTTTTTTTTTAATTACTTGCATGTATATATGAAATAATAAAATTTAAGAGCTTTCTCTTGTTGGTGTAACTAATTCATGCATTTTCTTAACCCACTCTATTCCAGGCCATATCTTTGACATCCCTATGTGATATGACACATAGTGTTGTAACTACACTATGTAGTTACAATTTTATTATTTTATTTTTTAATGTAAGAGCCATAATTAATGAACAGTATATATGAAACACAATTGTACAATATAGTAATTAATTATTATTAATATTGAATAATAATAATAAAATAATATATTATATATACAATTATGTTTACATTTATATTTTTCTTGCACATGTAAATTTTTCCCAATTATATCAGATATATATACATATCTGTTCTTAATTCATATGTTATAAGCTTCATCAAAAATTAAAAAAAAATACAATCAGAGCTGTCATAGGCAACATATTCATTATTAATAAGTTTTGTTTATTTTTTTTAAGCACTTCAGACGAACAATGACTGAGAGATGGGATCGAATTATGTACCAGCGTGATATGAGGCTTACAGGGGATGTGTATAAACCAAATGTAAGAAGACTTTCATTATCCCTGCGTAATGGTGTAAATTTCCATCATAACATTGAATGCCCAAAAATTATATAAAAGAACAAGTTCACTTTAAATTGGTTGTGTCTAGATACCCTTTTTAATGTCCATTGCAGAAAAAAAACATAGCTGTCAAATTTATTTATTAAAAATTTTTCCTTTTATTTTGATTATATCATCTTAAATTATTTCATCAATAAAGAAAAAACATGCAAAAAAGGGTTATTACTGATGGTTGAATTTCATATGACTTGATAGTAGGAGTAGCTTTTTTTCGATGGGTGATAAGGGCTTGGTAAATTGACAATATCAACATTATGAAATTAACCTCAATAATCTGCCCAAGGAGGACTGCACTATTTTTTTTATGCAACTTAGAATGGCAAACAAGCTGATGACCCACCTGATGGTAAGTGATAACTGTCGTCTATAGACATGAGCAGTACCACGGACATAACAGAGTATACTGTTTCGCCCATGATACCACCCATGCGTTGCCATTCCTGAGGACTCGGGTGTTATTCCTCTGTATCCTGGAAATTCTCTGCCATATCCCACCTTTCAAACTTAAACACAACTATGCAAACATAACTGCTTCATGATCAAAACATGAATGGGTAAGAGGTGCCCAAGCAAGTGACTTTTGTACAGTCTCCCTCTAGTAAAAGGTGCATGTGAAGGGTAACAGTTAAAGCTCATAATCTCATTTACTAACAACCCCTTCCCATAACTCTCACTTTGAACTTGAAAATGAGATTGTTAATTATAAAATATCTTTATTATTGTTACTAAAATACTTCTAATATTCTATTTAATGCTTTTTTTTTGTACAATCATATATTATTTCAGATATAATGTTCATTGGTTTTTTTAATAAATGCCTAATCACTGTCAACAGTTAAACTATACTTCCTATGTGATTTTTCACCTTATATTTAAAGGTATAATTTTTAAGAGATTACAGCTAATAAAGAATTTGATTATTTTCAGGGACTTGAAGCTATTCCAGATAAATGAACGCCATTGTAAAAATTGTAGCATTATCAATTATTTAAATAGACTTCTTTGTTAATAATAATAATAAAAATGTAAATAAGTTGTTGTTGTTTTATTAAAAACAATCAATTGTGGTCCAAATAACAATTTACAACAATATAATTTACAAGAACATTTAAATTTAAATTAGGGAATGCCAATGCAAGGTTATTTATTGTCTGTTGTTGTGATAATTATGAAAATGTATCTTTATTATCATTTATTTAATTTATAAGTAGTTAAAGCAAGAAATTTTATTATATCTTATTTTGAAGTATCCAAACCGACTTATTTAAGCCTTCCCTACACTGTGGCTTTTAATATGCATAAGTGTATATATCTATTAAAATATATACATATACTAATTAGAATTTCGTTCATTCATTACATCATGGTTTTTGACCAGAATGTATATGCAAATGTTATATTTTCTTTTCTGCGTCAAAGAGTATGATGAGCCTGTGTTCTGGGTAAACAATTTCCGATGGAAAAGTAACCCGTAAATAAATATAACCTAAACGAATATTAGTAAACAGGCAATCTCTATTATAGAGTCAACACTGTCTTTATTTTAACATAACAGGAAATTGTATGTATGCAACTATTTAGATGCATATATTTAACCAGGGAACCGTTTCGGTCGGCTCTTTAATTCTCATTCACACTTTTTCTTTTTAATAAAATATATCATATGTCACTTGCTGATAATTGGGTTAATTTTGAGGCACTATTTCGCCAAACTTAAAATTTAATTTGATAACACAGCGAAATCTTAATTGTAAGTAAAGTTGTAACAAATATAAATTAATTTTCTAATACATTTAAATCAAAATTATTATAATTTTAATTTATAAATTTATAAAATAGCAATTTAATGAAATTAAAATTTTAGTTTTAGAGAAATAGCGACTCAGAAAAAGCACTAATATAATTACAGCTATTGTGAAATTATTTTTAAAATCAGGTAAATCAAATATTTTGTGATTTTATCTATTATTGTCATATTAATTATGTGTCTATAATACCAATCCGTTCAAAATATCTATATCGATAGGTATTACAGAAAACCTATCTACTATAGCAGGTAGGTAGATTTTTTGTATTGGGAAAAAAATTTCAAATGATGAGGTTGCATAAAAATTATACAAATGTTTTTTGTTCGTAGTGACAAGAATCGGCAGACTAATTGTTATGTCATATCGATATAGACGACATAGAGGTCGATTCTGAGGCGCTTATTTTCTAACTATCACTAAAATTAAAATTTCAATTTGATGTTATAGTTAAATTTATATTATAAGGATTAATATGAATTTAATTTTTAATAGATATAAATCACGATTATTATAAACTTAATTATCTACAACTAATAATATTGCGAAATTATCACATTGAAATATTAGGTTTAAAGATAATTTAAAAAAATGGCACCTCAGAATCGGTTCATGTTTTGTTTATTTTTGTGTCTCTTTAATCTAATCTGTGATCTTTATTTTCATTTTTCAAATGATCATGTCTTTTAGTTCAAAGATATTTAATAAATTTTTTTGCATTTGTTGAAACTTTGCCAATTTATTGAATGGGATGAATACTTTCTAATACCATGCTTGCGTCAAGTAATTTAATATACAGAAAATAGTTATTCGAAAATATTAGACGCAGCAGATTACAATTCTTGTATAAAATTCTGAGAAAGTGACAAACTACTAATATTCGTGAGAACTCATTTAGTAATGGATATTTGTTTCATCGATTTAACAGTAGAATTCCTGGCTGTAGCTTTCCACAGTATCTTGTATTACGCAAATGTATACCCGAAGAGTATATTCGAAACTAGAAGGAAATACAGTATAGTAGTGTACCATTCCATTCATCCTGAAGTCAATCAATACATAGATATGTGTTTGCGAAGTATCTCTGAATGTTTTAAAACTGGACACCTAAGCCGTGTAGTATTTGCCATTACTGATGATGGTCATCATCCTTTACTTAAATTCGTGTTTGATTTTCATAAAAATGTATGTTTTGATGATGCAAAAGATGCATATTTAGTTCAAACTGAGCAGAACCTCCGTGCATTTTTACTTAAGCTGTCGTCGATAAGTGAGAAGTTTAATAAATTGCCAGAAGACATCAGTTTCACAGTATATCTTCACACCAATGAGTCTACAGCTGTTGCAATAACAACAAATCCAAGTTTGGAGGATTTCCCTTTGATTGAGAATGAAGAGAATACTGCAGAATCATCAGAGATTCTCCCTCTAAGAAGTTTTCCTGTAAGAAGTTATAATATGGATGTTTATATGGAAATGATGACTTTATAGTAAATCAGCAATTTTCCATAGTTTTGCCAACAGGAATTATATATATATATTCTATTCTATTCTATCCATTTAAGAGCTGCGCTCTTGTTGGTGGAGCTCTTGCCACTCACTACGATTTTCAGCGAGTCTCTTCACCTCTTGATATGACACGACACCAACTCCTTCCTTGAACTGCCTGATGTAACTATGTCTCGGTCTCCCTCTCCCCCTTGTTCCTTCTATCTTACCTTCTAATATAATGTTCATAAGTTCGTCGTGTCGTATCAAGTGTCCTAACATTTTTTTTTTTTTTATATATAGTATTTTATATTATGTTAGGATGTATATTGCCTATGTGACAGATATGTATGTATGTTTCAAATATAATTCAGATTTGTTCAGATGATGATTGTTCATGATTGAGCAACAAACATCCAAACATGTTTATAAATTTGCACATCTATAATATTAATAGGATTGAATACTGTTCAACAATATGTGTGTAATAATAGGTGATTAAGGGAACTTAATTCTAGAAAGATGGCCAGCAGTGTTCCTTTTAAAACATCTCTAAAAGCTCAACTGCGGTTGTCAACCTGCCTGCCAAGTGTGGCAACTACTGGCAGAACTCCCTTTATGTTCATCAGAGGTTGTTATTTACACAATTTTTTTGTTTGTATTATACAAAAGAAAAATAAATATATAAATATACATATATTTTTTTATTATTTTATGTATGGTATAGTGACAATGTTATTCTTATCAGTGTACTCGATCTTGTTTTTACATAAGTGTTTCATTTAAATTCTATATTGAGTTACAATTTACACTCATATTTTCGTAATTGGGAAACGGTGTGATAAGAGAGAAGTGTGGACTGAAAGATGATGTAGTGACAAAAATCGAAAAGAAATAGATAGATACTCTTTATTGTTTTCTCCAATTACAATACTAAATTTGTTATAAATATAAATAATTACAAGAAATAATCACAATGTTGCGTTGATTTGGCCATTTGGAGAGAATGGATGAAAGAATAATTTCGAAAGAGATTTATCGATCAGGAATGAATGGAGATATCGGTAGGGGCCGCCCTAGATGGACATTATGTCGATCAAATAGGCGACGTGCTGTAGAAGAGCGAAATTGAAAGTACCCATAACTGGCAAATATGTATGAAAAGAGTGATGAATGTGGAGGAAGCAAAAGAGGCTTTCTTGAATTGAATTTGGTGTTCCATTGTATTTGCCTACCCTAATGTGAGACAGGCGTGACAGATATGTATGTATGTATGTATTTTCGTTATTTCGGTATAGGCAGAAATTAATATTAATAAATTTTGCTAAATTACATGAAATGGAGGTCAAACTTCAAGTTATAATTATACTAAGTTACTTTAATACACAACATCATCTTTTTTTAACTTAACTTTCAAACACCGTAGCCTTGAATATATCTCATCCCAGTCAAGATAAGCTCCGATTAATTTTCTCACATTATTGTTATTGTCTTCATATGCATTTCTTCCATGTAATAGTCTGATATTATCAAACGCAAGAATATCACCTTCTTTAGTTTTAAATTTGGCTGAAAATTGATGGTTTAATGCCAAGAAGAGTCCATGAGCTTCATACCATGGTTTTACCATATCTATACTTCCAGGAAAATAGCTTCCTCTTTGTGGCACCGAAAAATTAATCCTGGTCACTGCACCGTATTTGTCAAGACATATTACTGGAGCTCTGTAGAGTTTGAAAAATTCATTGCTATCCTCTTCTCCAATGTCGCTCCATTCAACTTCTAGTTCAGTTAGTAACTTGTATTGGGCAGGGTAATTTTCTTTCATGTATTCAGCTATAAAATGACCGTCGGATAGTAAATTTTCCCCGCCAAAACTTTTAGTTTGCACCAAACAATGTAACAAGTTTGCTCCAGGACAATATTCATAATAAGGCAAATCAATGTGCATCTGCAAATTGCTGGACTGGTAAGCCACATTGCTCGTATTAGGCACGTGTTGAACCACAAATTTAACTCCGTAATGTGTTCTTCTGGTAAATCCTATCCTTTCCACGATAGCGTCAATAGCCGTTTCAGAATTCGGCGTGTTTTGTATCAGCGCTACACCATATCTCGATAGTTTCAGAAGCCAATCGTAAAGCCCTTGATCGGAATTCAAAATTTCATCATATTCGTGCTTGCTACATATTTCCTGGAATTGTTCTCCCTTCCAAGTGATCTTCTTAGGCTTGTAAATAGCCTCAATGTACCTCTGTTGATTTTCTGGAGTAAAACTTCTGAACTTCAACCAGCTTAGTTCAAATTTGGACGTGTGCCCATCGTTCCAGTTCACTTGCAGGGAATTTCCATTTCTAACGACGTCCTTGGGTTTTATATTGACATCGAATTTGCTCCAATCTAATATTCTACTTCTTGCTGATTGATGAAAACACTGTTCGCACTGGCAATTGTCACGAAGCCACACGTACGGAAAACTTAGATTTTCTCCAGATATCTCTAATGTTAAATAATCGTGCGTCCACCTTTTTAATTGAAAATGTTGACGATTGTTCTCTGTGATACTTTTTATTAAGTTAACTTGTTTTGTATTATGTAGTCGCCTTAGAACAAACATGATAGCTACTTGTATCTGTAATGACTAGTGAGATAATAACGGCTGTATTCTAGATAAAATTCTTATACATTGAACCGGCCAGATGTGAGTATCAACTATGACCCGGGGATTGTGTACGTATTATTTTAATAGCTTAATATTGTAGCGGCTTTAAGTTGAATTCCCAAATGATGATTAAAAATCAAATTCATAATGTTCGAAGTTTAAATATTAAGTATAATTAGCTCGATGCTATGCCCCATACCTCATTTGAGCTTGTCAAAAATGGTTGTAATGTTGAACCCTAATTGAAGTTATTTTATTATTAAATCAGCCATTGATTGTCCACTGCTGGATATAGGCCTTTCCCATAAGGGGAGTTTTGCCAGTAGTTGTCATGCTTGGTAAGCGGATTGGCTTTTGGTAATGTTGTAAGAGAGACGCTGCTGCCTATCCCTAGACGGTTAAATTCCCTTAGTAGCCTCTTACGACACTCACGGGAAAGGAAGAAATGGTCCAATATATGACGGGAGCAAACGGGAACCCAACTGAAGTAGAAGCTAATACTACTAATAATACTCTAGTAATAATAAAGTTTCATCAAATTCCCAAGAGCGCAAAGATTGGTACAGGCAAAAATTCTTCAATAGGATTGTAACCTTGTGTCTTGAAAGAATTTCTTTAAATGCTCCATGTAATTGCTGATTTGCCATAAGAAGAAAATTAGCATTTTAGGCTGTCTATAATACCTAAGCTGCTTTACACTGCTTGACAGTACAGCAATAGCTGAAGTTTCTGCTTTTGTAATATCTGTTATTGTAAAGGAACTCTTTTTTTTTGATGGGTGAAAATGGTATGGTAACCCCGCCTGCGCTAAAGGGATACGCCGGCGGAGCACCAGTGAAGGGTGATAAATGAGAATGAAAATAGGCCAGTTAGCCCATCATGATGAATTCATCAGGAATTAACCATGATAGTTTCCAGGGGGAATCGCGAGGAGGTCGACCTGGTTGGGTATATTGCTAGCAATGGGATTCTCAGTCTCCAACAATCCCTTTCCCCCCTAGGAACTCATTTGGAATTGTCTAAAATGTATAAAATACCGCCAAAATGGCATGTGACTATGACCATTTGACCGTATTCGTAACATTTTATACGCGATGGCGGGCAAAGAACAAATTATTGTAATGACGAACCTATATGACCTGTGACATTATATTATGAATGGCAATCGATAACGACGCTTGCTTTGATTGTATTGTATTGTATTAATAAATATACATAATACGATCATGCGTATTAAAAATTTATTTTCCTGACGTGTTCCTGGTGCCTTGAAAAATACGCCCATGTAATTTTTAGACATGTTTTATAGCTGCAATTTCTCGTATCCTAGTGTGGGCATGGCCGTAGCTGGGGGGGGGGGGGGGAGGCATTACCAGAGGGAGACTTTGTATAAAAGTCGTTTGCTTGGGTACCTCTTTCCATTCGTGTTTCAACCGTATAGCAGTTGTGTTTGCATGGCTGTGTTTCGGATTGAAGGGTGGAATATGGCGTGAATTTACAGGGTACAGAGGAATAACATCTGAGTCCTCAGGAATGGCAATGCATGGGGGTATCATGGGCGTAACAGTATACTCTGTTATGTCCATGATACTGCTCATGTTTATAGGCGACGGTTACCACTTTCCAATAGATGGGCCGTTAGCTTGTTTGCCATTCTAAGTTGTATAAAAAAAAATTGAGGGGCAATGCCCTACCTTAAAATGAAAGGCCCCAAGAAAATTAGACAGATTCCCATTTTTGAAGTTACATAATTATGACTTCTACCCTACCAAAAAGTTCTTTTGTGCTACCTTAAATTTGGGTTTAGCTATGGCCCTGAGTGTGGGCAACAGATAATTCTAGGATGCCCCCCCCCCCCCATTCCGCCTTAAATGTGCCTATGCAATTATGTTTAGTCTTTAAATCACTCGAGGAATACACAGAGACAATTGAGTTTCTTGCATGGTCTATCATTGAGACCAAGGTTTACGATTTCGAACATGTTTGTTCGGAAATTTTGAGCATAAAGCCTATTCTGAAATTTCACGTAAAAATTAAACATTCTAATATTTTTCATTTAAGTAACTTACTTAACAATGTCAATTCATTATTTATTATAAAAATATTTCATAGTTTCAATGCTTACATTATTCTAAGTGACTAATTGAATTAAAATATGCAATTTTTTGCAAATAAAAAAAAATATCTAATTTGTATGTAAAAATAAAAACTTTATTGAGAAAAATAATATAACAATTTATATAACAAAAATCAACCGCATGGTTTTGTAAAAGATATATTTTGTTTAACATTTAATATAATAAACATATATATTTAAAATTGTCAATTATGCTGTAACAAATAATACAGTAAAACATAAAAAAAAAACAGTGACCAATTTAATATAAATAATAAGTGCATGACCTGATTCACCCTTCACCCTTTTAACATCAGACGACCAGACGAGGCGAGTCTTCGCCTTTACGTCGTAGGCATACTAATTATAACGTACGAAGAACATTGCGTCTTCCTTCATCATGGGTATAGCCAACAAGTGGGAATCTTCATGCTTGTTTTTTTACCATATATAATTTAGACCAATATAAGGCAAATGTGAATAGACTATTCTTGGGCCTGCGAGCTCCATCTTAGACAACATCATCGCTTCACATCAGATTAGACCGTGATCAATCGCCGGACTCCCCAATGGCAAAAAAATAAACACTGTTTATTTCAACAAATTATTTTGTTTAATTCCGCTACCATTAATATGTGTGTGACTGCCAACATTAATGGTAGCGGAATTAAACAAAATAATTCTATTCAAACAGCCAGTGATATGGATTTCTGCATGTAAACACCTAGTTCAGTTAAAAAAAAAAGCATTTATCGACTATTGCCTATCGAGAATAAAGACAATAATAATAGTTATATGTAGGGGGGGGGGGGGGGTGACATCCACCGAAATCATTCCAATCGTTTTGTCGGTGAACGGTCTTATCCCAACCAGTCTGGAACAACATCTCAAACGGTTGGGATTCCGAGGCGGCTCACTCCCGGGAAAGATGCAGAAAGCGGTGCTCTTAGATTGTACGCCGGTTTCTCTCCCTGGGGCCCCGACCCCCGGCCGACTGTGCTTCTGCCGGGGGTTAGTTGCCATCTCCTCTCCTTAAGAGGGGAGATGAGAATTTTGGTAAAATTTAAAAATATTAATCAAAATATTAGTTCAGTTAAAATTTCAATATAGTATATTTTCAACTTTTTTTTCTCATTACAATATTGGAATGCCAAATAATATTTATGTACTTGTTATAGTAGATACCTATTAAGTATTACGACACACCCTCAACGTCGATCGGATCGTACCACCTAGCACGACGCAAGAAGGTGCGCTACCGAGAAAGACACCTGCGTCGAGTCAGCATTTCAATTCCCGCAGCAAAAATACCCATTTCCTTTATGTTTGATTTTATATAACTTCACTTACGGATCACACATCGATCTGAAGACATATTATTTTATAGTTTTTTTTGGTCTTCCGCCAGCGACTTCAATAACTTACTTTTCGACTAGATTAGTAAACAATATTATATACAAGGAAGTCTTTGCAAAATACATCCATGTTAACAGTCCGTAGTCGTGTCAATAAAACAAACTGGTCCCTTCTGAAAACCGTCGTGTTGAATTCCAGGTGTATTCATCATGATGGGCTAACTGACCTGCCTTTTCATTCTCACCTATTATCCCTCACTGGTGCCTTACTAGCGTATACCGTTAGCTAAGAACAAGGAATTACATAGAAGGAATAATAAAATAAAAACTGTAAATTATATGGTTGCCTTCTTTCTTCTTATCCAAATATAATTAGTAAAAAGAGGACGAAAGATACACCATCTGTTGCTATTTTTGTCAATTCTAGTAGGCTAATGTATGAAAATGTTATACGGCCATATAACCCTACCAAATTGAGATACAACCTGCTTGCATACTTTCTACATAAACTGTGTCGAATATATAATCTAGTAATGTAAAATTTGTCATTGACAAATAATTGACATATCAAACATTTTCTATACACTAGCCTACTGTGAATTGAGAAGAATGACAACTGATGGTGTATCTTTCGTCCTCTCTTTACTAATTGTATTTACATAAGAGAGGAAGCCACCATATGATTTGAAGGTTTTATTTTATCATTCCTTCTATGTTTTTCCTTGTTCTTAGACCGTTAGAGCAGGCGGGGTTACAACTTCATTGTCATCCATTAAAAAAATACAAACTATGTACTTATTGTTTACAAATTCAGTGATTTTTTACTAATTTGGTTATAAAATAAAGTTATTATATTACATATATATTCGTGTAATATTTTTTTCTTTTTCTTTTCAAATAAACTCAGTATAAAAGAGATAAATATCACTGGACATATCGCACGACGCCATCTAGTTTCAAAGAAAGTAGACTGCACTATGGATACTAGACAAGTGACAGATACTTTCTTTTTTATAAGACATACACATTTTGCATAGAAAACACCCAAACCATTATAAACAGATGTACTTATGAATACAAATATATATTTATAGTAAGTAGTTTAATAAATTATATGTATTTGATATTTTAGTGCATTATAGGTTTTTGTATTTTATGCACGAAAATTATCAATTCACTCTTGCGCCACCTGCCCACTTCTATCTGTTCTCCTTTAACTAAAGGTTGTCTGTAAGAAATCGCTCTAGCGATAAGACCGCCTTTGGTACCTTTATGCGTATATTTCAATCTGTATTTATGTTACTGTATTTCACTTGAATTATTCAATTGTCATTGTATATTTTTGTTTATGGTGTAATAAAGAATTAAATATAAAAAAATATAAACATAAATGTGTATTGTGCAGGGATCGAACCGGTAACAAAGCTGCTAGTCAAAAGCCGTCATTATGCGCCTAACGTTTAAGTTTAACATTGATCTTGTGGTATGCGTTGCTCAGTATACCGCGTATATTCCATATGTCTTCAAACTTCTCAGGCTGCGTGTTGAAGTTGCTGTCTGTGGCCTTCACTCGTATCTCCACCTGTATGTAATAAAGTTAATTGATGGTGAATAAAACGAAAAAAAACTAGCACTCCAGGAGTGCAGACAGAAGTGAAAACTTGAACAATTACGTGTGTATATTTAAATTCCAAGTGGTGTCAGTTACGGTGACAGTGTCGCGTCCCGAATTTAATAGTCTTTTCTCATTTCAAAAATCCCAAGATGCATGATGGATGAGCCAGCCATTTTTGCAGTTTGCCATATTTTAGACAACTCAACGATCTAGCCTATCACGCCGTTACCAGCCAGGATCTTATAGTGAGCACGACCAGTTTTAAATTACTTCAATTGCCTAGTTTTCAAGATAGAACATTGGGGGTGGGGGGGTGGGGGGATTCCTAGTAATGTAGAATGCCAATATACCTACCTACTTATCAGATCGACGTCTACGTGGGCTAACTGACCTGCTTTGGGGGAAAGGGATTGTTAGTAATGAAGACTGAGAATCCCATTGCTAGCAATATACCCAACCAGGTCGATCTCCTCACGATTCTGGAAACTATCACGGTTAATTCCTGATGAATTCATCATGACGGGCTAACTGGCCTGTTTTCATTCTCATCGATCACCCATCACTGGTGCTCCGCCAGCGTATCCCGTTAGCGCAGGCGGGGCTACCATTCCATTTTCACCCATTAAAAAAACTGACCTGCCTTTTCATTCTCCCTATCATCCCTCACTGGTGCCCCACCAGTGTATACCGTTAGCGCAGGCGGGGCTAACGGGCATTACGATCCATTAAAAAAAAGTTAGAACATCCTGTGTTCTAAGAAATTGGGTAATGAACTTCTGGAGGCATAAACTAGAACACCCAGACCCGAGCTAATTCGAAAATCAATTGTTCTTCATGGGCCAAGTTTAGGAACGAACCTGCTTAGCATTCTGGGGCACGAGCAGTCGCGCGCTCCACAGCGTCCAGGCGTAGTGGTCGCGCGGCGCCGCGCTGTCGCTGGTCAGCTGGGCTTCCGTCCACTGCGACCCTCCATTGATACTCACGTCTACCCGCAGGATCTTGGCGCCGCCGCCAGAATACGCATATCCTGCGCAGACGTGAATAAAAGAAATAAAAATTATTGCAACTTTTACTACCTAAACTGTTCATGTGAATGCACTGGTAAAAGTCTAGATCTACTGTGAAGCAGTTGTGTCTGCATGGCTGTGTTTCGGTTTGAAGGGTGGGATATGGCGTGAATTTACAGGGTACAGAGGAATAACATCTGAGTCCTCAGGAATGGCAACACATGGGGGGTATTCATGGGCGAAAATAGGCCATCCTTTCCTTTCCTACGAGTCTCCTAAGAGGTGACTAAGGGACGGCGATTGATGGGCAGCAATGTCTCTTTTAAAAGATCTTCAAAGCCTAACTGCGGTTGCCAATCCGTCTGCCAAGCGTGACAACTACTGGCAAAATCCCTCAAGGGGGAGGCTTGTGTTCAGCAGTGGACAGTTAAAGGCTGATATGATGATGATGAACAGCGTCGTCCCGTTCACACTCACCCCTGACCTCGATGCAGCCGTCCTTAACGGCGACAGTGTCGCCATCTTGCGGGTCGCACACCACGGACGTGACGGGCAGGCTGTACACGGGCGGCGCGCTACTGAAGTCCGCCGTCTCCCACGTCTTGGACGGGTTGAACGAGCGGTAGTCCTTCTGATGCCAGTGCGACTGGCTCTCATCCTCCGATATTGTTATCGACTCTGGGGTTAAAGTTTTTGTTGCTACATATGAGATTGTATGCTTTAATTGAAGTAAATGTGATCGCCGATCCCAAATAATTGGGATAAGGGCAGGAAATTAAATTTAGTAAATTCCTAAAACAAGCCGTTTATTAAGAAATTCCTATATGATGTGTTTAAAAATGTTCAACAATATACATACGGATATAAAGGTAGTTCCATTAAATCAATTTAAAATTGTATTACGTCAATGGTTACTTAGCAAAAGCTTTTACTCTCTTGACGAATTTTTCAAGAAATAATTGAAAAATATCTAATATAGTTGTCGATGCATAAATTAATCAGATCCTATCAAAACGGTACATTTGCATGCTATACTGTAATGGCTAAATAGGCATATATATATATATATATATATATATATATATATATATATATATATATATATATATATATATATATAATATATATAAAAGAAGTTCCCGGCGTAGAATAGATCATCCCTCCCTTTCCTATGGCATCGTAAGAGACGACTAAGAGAACTTAATTGCAAAACAACGTCAAAAGCCAAACTGTGGTTGCCAACTCGCTTGCCAAGAGTGGCAACTACGGCAACTAAGGTACGGCCCCGTTCCTTGTGACAGTCTATAGGGAGGCCTATGACCAGCAATAGACTTGTATGTTTTTCTTTATTGTTTTGTTGTTAATATGTAATCGATGACTTAAGGAAAATGTTGTGTACATCTGTAATTAGTGGAAATGCAAGATGCAAGCCCTATATATCAATTAAAATTTGGCTGTATTTACACTGTTGATGTACCTTTTAAATAAATAAATAGATAACGGCTTATATGATGAAACACAGCATATAAGTCCAGTTAGTTACCGAGCCACTTGACACTGCGGACGGCGGGCGCTCCGGGCACCACGACCCTGAGGGGGTACCCATGATCCGGCGGCAGCGGTTGACCGTTCATATGAGTGGCAAGCAGCACGCGGCTTCGAGGGTCCATAGCCATGTGCAGGGGTATCGACGTGCTGAAGTTCACTCCGGTCGCGTCGATGTCAGAACCTGTGAACTGAGTTGTGGCATACTGCAATGGTCATCATCGCTTCAGCCATTATCCGTCCACTGCTGGACATAAGCCTCCCTCATAGACTGTCATAAAGAACGGTCCCGAGCCACCTGCATCTACTGACTCCCTGCAATGCATTTCAGGTCGTCACTCCATATAGTGGGGAGTCGTCCTACACTGCGTTTGCCCGTACGCGGTCGCCACTTAAAAACCTTTCTTCCCGATACTGCAAAAGTAAATCTTATTAATATAGTAAAATTTTAACCAGCCATAAACTAAAATTTCATTCCAACCATCTGGACGAGTGGCGCTCCTTCACCGTGCGTTTTTCAAGGCACTTTCTCCCATGCACAACCACTCTTTGGAATCAACTTCCAGCTGCAGTATTTCCGAACCAATACGACAACATAACCTTCAAGAGAAGAGCATATTCCTTTTTAAAAGGCCGGCAGCACACCTGCAATGCCGTAAGTGTTGTGGGTGACCATGGGCGGCGGTAGTCAATTACCATCAGGTGAGCCGCATGCTCGTTTGCCCCCTGTATAGTAAAAAAAAAAAACTGAACGTTGTTTGTAGTACTAGCCGCATTTTCGAACCCCCCATATAACATATCGTAACGTTCCACAAGACCCTTCTTCCCAAATTGCGTGACGTAATGCTTGAACGAACGTCTTCTAAATTCAAATATTTTTATAAGAGGCTTCTATCTTTATGAATACAATCTTTATATCCATTGGTAATATTTTTTAATTCAATTCACTCATAATCGTATTTTCTGATATTGCTCATAACTTGGGTTACATGTTCGTTTTTATTATTTACTTCATTTTCTCGCACTGTATAATAATGTTAAAGTGAATGTTATGAATACCTATAATAGGCGTGTGCATTAATATTGTATTGTATTTAATGTTTGTTATACCTATATGTTATAATGCAATATGCTGTTAGTGTTCCTTAAATAAATAAAATAAATAAACGATATCTGGTAACAAAGAAACAAAGAAATTGCGAAGATATCTATATGCGTGCGGCGTTCGTGCGTGTATGCGTGTGCGTGCGTGCTAACGTGCGTATGTGCATGCGTGTGTATATATGTGTGTGTGTGTGTGTGAGTGTCTCACCACGACATGTTTCCCGTCGTGGTTGCGGTCGTCGACCCCGCAGTGCAGCAGTACATCGCGGAGCGCGACGCCCGTCCACAGCGCGTTGCTGATGGCGCCGCCCGCCCAGCTTATACCCTTCACCGGTTTCACCTGCTTATATTCATAATTGGATATTATGAGTGCCGCGTGCCTTTCAAAAGTAGGAAAATGAATAAAATATGTCGCTTCGACGTGGTGTAACAAGAAAAAAAAAACATACATAATTCACGAGAAATTAATGAATTCATCAAATAATTTCCCGTTGAATTCATTAAATTCTCGCGAATTATGTATAAAAAAAATATTATTTTTTGCACAGCTATTATTTGAAAAAAGCAACAGCTGTTTCTTGCCCGTTCTTCCCAGCTAAAGATGTATTTCGAACTGGGTGGTAGTTTCATAAAAAAAAAATACTATTCAAAAATGCTTATTATTAAGTTTACTTGAATAACAATTAAAGAAGAAACAGACAGACAGACAGACAGACAAAAATTCTAAATTTTTTTTATATATTTTATTTTATTGGCACATAAAACTGATCACAACCATAAAAAAAAAAAAAACTTAAATAAAAGTTACATTTGTGATTCGGCTAGGTTATAATCCAATCACATTACGTGCACAGCTTAAGTAATTCATGTAAAGCAAACACATGTAAAAAAGAAAATACATAAAATGTTATATAAATATATAAAAGATAAAACTATATAAAAAAGAAAAAAAACCATACTTTCAATCATATTACAAAATAGAAAACAAGTTCTTCCTAAAGAGCTTGTTTTAGCTTCTATTGCTATTTTTAATTTCGTTCATATAAATATTCCTTAAAAATCTATTTTAATTGTAATTAAAAATGTACAGCCATTATGTAGTTTTTTTGCTTTTTCTTTTTCTTATAGTACCTGTACAGTAAAAGTTCCTTATTCACGCTTTCTATATTCGCGACTTAAAAAATTGCGACCTAATTCCTATATTCGTGGTAAAACATTTCTTTATTCGAGGATCAAATCGGTACATATTAATACAAAAGATTCGGTATCCTTTGCAAACGCGTCGGCAAATGGGCTAATAATAATAATATTTATTTAATCAGACTACATAAGGCCCATTTTGTTAGTTATAAATTGACCTAACCTATGTTAGTAAATGAGCGGTCATAACATTCTTGCATTGATAACTTGTCCTACCCAATATTTTAGGATGGAACAGTCCATTTTATCAGCAATTGTCTTCAGGACACTGTTTGAGCTAACACGCACCCTACTCAACAGCGAAACAATTCGTTTGCATCGTATTACGTAAAAATCATCCGTACGCTCTCGTGCAAACATGTGTGACGCACTACAGCGACGAGGTAGCCCCAACAGTGCCCCGAAGGTATTATTATATTGGACTCGAAGAGCGTTGGAAGTTTTTTGGTTACAGTTTACCCACAAGCTATTCGTGTAGAACACCTGACAAAAAGCTTTAAACTTTATTTTTACTTGTTTTGTACACCTAGCAAACCTTAATAAAAAATTAAAACAAACCTACACAACTACACCTAAAGTATGTTGTCGAATGCTATCGCCACTGTAAAAGTGATTCGGCTTTCTATATTCACGGTTTCTGTATTCACGGCATATTCATGAAACATATACCCCGCGAATAACGAACTTTTACTGTATAAAAAATTCATAATAATTGATTAAACCGTCAAGGGTTACAAACAAACAAACTCTGAGGGAAAAGCATTGTTAGCAATGGAGTTTGACAGCCATATTGCTAGCAATATGCCGCCATATTAGGTCGACCGCCAAGTGGTTCCCCCAGAAAACCATCGTGAACAATTCTCGTTGAATTCGTCACGATGGGCTAACTGACCTGCTTCACCCTCACCTATCGTCCTTCACTGGTGCCACGCCGGTGTATACCGATAGCACGGGTGGGGTTACCATTCCATTATCATTCATTAAAAGTCTTACTTTGTCCATCTCGCTCCGCCTGTTGCCGGCGCACATGAGTGCGGCGCGAAGACTAGTGGTTGGAAACCGGTGTAAGTCTCGAAGAGAGAACTCGAAGGTTTTCGTCCTACTGGTGCCCCCTCGTACCACCACACGCAGGCGATGCTTGGAGGCGTCCAATTGTGGCACTGGCATATGTTGGCGCACGTAGAACAACTCACTGCGGACAAGCAGACAATCGTGTATAGTGTATAGTTATTTTTTATTGTATTACTAGCTGACCCCGCAAATGTTGTTTTGCCATATACATTATTTCTAGAAAATAGTTTTTTTTTTTGGGGTGGGTCACCCTTATTATTGAGGGGTATAAAAAATAGATGTTGGCCGATTCTCGGACCTATCGAATATGCATACAAAATTTCATGAAAATCGGTAATGCCGTTTCGGAGGAGTTTGGTAACAAACACCGTGACACGAGAATTTTATATATTAGATATGTTCAATTTTAAATAGGTATTATTGAGTTTAACTGTAACTGTATGGTTTTTACCTTTGAACATTGTAAAGTTTTCTTTCAGCTTTTCATATGTATGACTGTAAGAGATCCTTCTATGGGATAAGTACGTTTATTAATTTTTTTATTAATTTATTATTACAAAAATTTAGAATTACAGAAAACATTTATTTATTTATTTCATCAATTGAGTGAGCTTTACAGTTTTAAAATACGCTCACTCAGGCAAGCATCAGTACAGTAATAAATATGTATTATTAAATGTAATAATATTAATTAAATTTAAATCACATGTCTAATAATAATAATCTATAAGGGGGAAAGGGATTGTTAGTAATGGAGACTAAGAATCCCATTGCTAGCAATATACCCAACCAGGTCGACCTCGCGGTTCCCTCTGGAAACTATCATAGTTGATTCTAGATGAATTCATCATGATGGGTTAACTGGCCTGTTTTCATTCTCATCTATCACCCTTCACTGGTGCTCCGCCAGCGTATCCCTTTAGCGCAGGCGGGGTTACCATACCATTTTCACCCATCAAAAAAAAAAAAAACCAATAATCTATATCTTAAATCTCTGAAAACAAACACTTTGTGGTCATACGACGAAACTCCAACAAGTTGGAGGTAAACACGTCCAATTGCACGTTTCAATGCAAGAGAGACGGGAGCTTGCTTGGTTAATTCTGTTCTTCTTAATGTAATATTAAATAAGTAAGTACCTTTTACGTGCTCACACGTAGTTCTTTTAGCATTTAGAACATGTCGTCACCTCTATGGCAGATTTAAGTCTCTGCAGTTTTTTCAAATTTGACATTTCTTTAAAAATCTACATTTTGCGTCATACTACTTATTGTGGCTTATTTTCAAATTTCTCTAACGGTTAAAGGAATCGAGTAGCTCGAATCTCCTTATTTTTGTGATATACCCAAAGTAAACTTAGTTAGCATATTTTTATAGTATTTTCTATAATTAACACTTTAATTTGAAAATTTCAATAATTATTTTATCAATTTTTCAATTCTAATTTAGTTATTTTACATGAATGATTGCTATAACGTTGTTATTTAAACTGAAGTTTTCTCCAAAACACGTGATTTATACCTTGGTATACTTACGAAAGTGGCAGTTACGTACAATAAAGTTTTTACAATGAAATTGCGCTTTTTATTACGCATTCCCAACGCTCCTTTCCTTTTTTTCTCAATCATTTCCTCCATAAAAACTACCCTAATACCCCTGGTTACCTCCATTACTAACAATCCCTTTCCCCCCTGTATTGTTAGGGTGGGTATGGTATATGTTATGGCCAAACGGCTATCTTTTTAACATTACTATGAGGGATGAGATAGGTGACCTATATTTTCATCCTCATCTATCATCCCTCACTGGTGCCCCACCAATGTCGATCGATAGTACAGGCGGGGATACCATTGCATTATCATTCATTAAAAAAATCATCACTATGAAGTAGAGCGAGGGGGGGGGGGGGGGGGTTGTAAGTAATATGGACTAGAAGTCCACTTGCTAGCAATATACCATCAAACCAGGTCGACCTTTATGGGGTCCTCTCTAAAAATCAACGTATTGAACTGCACCGGCGCCCCGTAAACGTATACCGTTAGCGCAGGTATGGTAACTTCATTATTACCCATTAAAAAAAAACTAGGGGTAAATTATTTATTTAATAGATAATAAATATTCATATTTTGTACCGAACAATTTTAGATCAGAGGGCTTACCATGAAATATTTTCCAAAATTTCGGAGACAAACGAAACAAAAATTTGATGTTAAAATTACATAATACATGCCGTTTAAAATTATTAAAATATTGTTTGTCTGGACTATTAGGACAGGATTTATGATGAACGAAGTGTTAAGCTCCATTTACTGGATCGATTTTGGTTCGAACAAAAACACGAAATTGAGACCCAAAATTCGGATTTTCATTTCATGGTAGACCACCATGATACTTTTTTGTTTTATAATTTTTAAAACGTGATTTCGAAGTAAGTCTTAGTTTATAAAGTTAATTTTTACTTTACTTACCTGTTTCTATTTTCCTTCTCTAGGGAACACCTTGTGTTTATATGAATTTAGTGGAAGATAAGGATCGACTGAATACAGTACCAGGGTAAGTGACGATCAATGAATCCATAGTATTTCATTATAATGAAACAATTTATTATTTATCACTTTATACATATTTTAAATTTAACAGGTACATTTATTAAACTTTATTACATAGACAAGCTAAGTCTCTCACATAGAAGTTTATATCTTATTTTTAACAAAATTTTAGAAAAATAAACTTAAAATATATCTCGAATAATGCGTAGTGTAAGTACTTGTACTGTTATTTATGAAGGTTAAAATATAATTTAATATATTTATATATTTGCGGCGTTTGGAAGTGAAACTCTGGGCCCGTGGGGCCCCGAGGCCATGAATTTTTTCAAAGAGATTTCACGCCGGCTGGTGGAAACCTCTGGCGACCAGAAGGCTGGCCTATACTTTGGTCAACGCATTTCCATAGCTATTCAGCGTGGAAATGCAGCAAGTCTCCTAGATACCATACCAGTTGGCAGTGATCTTAAGGAAATTTTTTTATCTTTCACTATTTAAATTTATTCCATTAGAAATATTTACTTCGATAGGTATCTAGTAATATAATATTTAAATAATAAAAGATTGTGTCCAACAAAAAACAGACTTCAATTGTCTTAAAAACACTTATTTTGCTCTAAAAATCAAACTGCTGAGCCAATTTTCATAAAATTCCTATGGGAGCAATCTGTAAGTATAACCTTTCCAATAAAAAAGAATTCCCCAAATCGGTTCAGAACTAACGGAGTTATGAGGTAACAAACATAAATAAGAATACAACCGAATTGAGAACTTCTTTCTTTTTGTAGTCAGTTTTTTATACAACTTAGAATGGCAAAAAACAACTTTATGCGAAAACCAATTTATCTTGTTTTAAAAAACTAGTTTAGTTCAACCGATTTTGATAAAATTTCAATGAGACCAATCCCTAAGTATATCCTATCAGATAAAAAAAGAATACTTCAAATCAGTTTGAAACTGACAGAGTTATGAGGTAATAAACAATAAAATAAAAAAAAAAAATTGAGAATGCCCTCTTTGAAGTCAATTGAAAATTATGATAATTATATACATTTAAAAATGTAGTTAAAAGTGATAAGAAAAATATTGGCACACATTCATATTTATCTCTTATTTTATTTTATACAACTTAGAATGGCAAACAAGCCGACGGCCCACCTGATGGAAAGTGGTAACCGTCGCCTATAGACATGAGCAGTACCATGCACATAACAGAGTATACTGTTTCGCCCATGATACCCCCCATGCGTTGCCATTCCTGAGGACTCAGGTGTTATTCCTCTGTACCCAGTAATTTCACGCCATATCCCACCCTTCAAACCGAAACACAGCTATGCAAACACAACTGCTTCACGGTTGAAACACGAATGGGACAGAGGTACCCAAGCAATCGACTTTTGTACAAAGTCTCACTCTTATTATAATGCAATTACATTGAAATATACTTAATATTAACTCATCGAATGATCGTGTACTAAGAATTAAGCTTAAAACTAGCTTTATAAAAGCATATAATTTTGCACGTTACATTTTTACACTCCTTGTCAACAGTTCTCCCATTGATCATAGATTACTCATCATATTAGATTCAATAATTCCCATATTGAATCATTAGTATTACCATAACTTAAGGTTGTCTTGAAAAGATTGCTCTCAGCAATAAGACCGCCTTACATACAACAATGTACAATTACCGCCTTATTATACAATTGTATCGTTGAGTTTGTAAATTGTCTTGCTTATTTCCTATATTGTATAATGCAAATAAAGTATACTCATTCATGCATTAATTCACAATTCGCTTCTTTCAAGTATATTTCGCATCTCCTCTTCGCTACAAATCTGAAAGAAGACAGGTAGAATATTTTAAACTATGATACGAATACAATTCAGTTGGGCAGCGTCCGGGAAACTACATCACATCTCATCTAGAATACCTTAAAGTTTGAAGATGAAGAACTTCAACCACTGCGTGTTGTCAGTCATGACTTATCGAACCGAAACATGATCCTACATGGTTGCCCCTATGCAAAAGCTTCAAATTAATTCACAAGCTATATTGAAGGCTGCGTGACAGAATCCGAAACAAGGATAATAACCAAAGTCACTGACATAGCCCGAAGGATAAGCAAGCTATAGTGAAATATATGTGCTAGTCATATAGCTCAAAGAACTGACAACCGATGAGGAAGAAAGGTTCTTGAGTGGCGACTCCGTACGGCCAAACGCAGTGTAGGACGATCTTTAAATTGCATTGCAGGGAGTCAGTGAATGCTCAGGATTGTTCGTTATGGCAGTCTACGGGGGGGGGGGGGGGGGGGGGGGTTATCTATGTTCAGCTTTGGACAGATAATGGCTGATATTCTACGATATTCGATATGATAGTAATCATCATACAAATACTGAAACTGTATGTAATATACACTATCAGGACTTAACACGAAAAAAATTTAGAAGTAGGTACTATTTACTTTTACAAAACTTTCATTTCAGTCACTATCTGTCCACTGCTGAACATAGGCTTCCCCTATTCGTGGGCTTTGCCAGTAGTTGCCGTACTCGGCAACCGCAGTTAGGCTTTGGTGACATTTAAAGTAGGACGTTGCCACCCATCCCTGAAGCATTAAGTTCCCTTAATCACCTTAAGAGTTTGACTTCTGTAAATTTATTCTGCAATTAATATGAGGCCAAGGGAATAGTTACCATTTTCGTCTACTGTTGATAGCTCGAGCAATCATTTTCAAGCCTTGACCGATTGCGATCATTGCTTTAGCTTGTAGTACAGCAGCCTCTGCCTGCTTCTGAAGGGCTAGTGCCAACGTCCTGTCATTGGCCGCCCGTATTTCCTCAATTCGGAGTACTGTACTCTCTATGGACTCGTCATGCTGTGACTGTTCCTCATGCTTTATAGAGTTCCGTTGTGAAAATTCCTCTTGATGTAAAGATGTGTCTTCTTGAGGGAACATATCCTGTTCTTTGTATTGGTCTTGTAACACTTCCACCTGCTGTAACGGATCAGATTCCACATCTTGTGATTCGTCATCTGCAGACATTAATAACATTATTGCAGTTCACACACAAACTGAACAGCTTGCTTGATGTATATACTGATACCTAATAACGCAGGCTTTCTATCCCTTAGTCACCTTTTATGACAGCCAGGGGAACTAGCGGAGTGCTATGCGTATATTGCTCATTAGATTGCATCTCCTGTGACAGCTGCTGTGGGAATAGTGGTGTTCTTTCCTGTGATACAACAAATTTATACAATAAAACTACTTGTACTTATATATTTACAATGAAAATATGTTAAGAGCAAACTTTATTATATACATATGTTATTATATTATTTATTGATTTAATTCACTTGTAAATAACATATATAATACAGTTCTAAATATTGTAAGCAAGGATGGACCTACCTCTAAAAAAGATTTCTCAAGCTAACCCAATACAGCAAAAACACATGTAGTTAGCAGACAGCAAAAATGCAAGAATGCTGTAGGAATGACATCAATACTAATACAAATAAAGTTTTTTGACATATAAAATATATCTAGGGATAAATTTTTTGGGTTGGCCACCCTTACTTAGGAGTTAAAAAAAAGGTACAAACTTATTACTCAGACCTAAGAAGTAGGTACCTATGTACATATCTATATATATAATAATATACCTATATATTATATTTATATTATATATGATAATATAACAAAATACAAATAATAATTAAATAAGAATTGAGTTATTCAATTGTTATTGAAAAAAATTCACCTAATTTCAGGAATTTTAATTCAATTGTGGAGAATATTTTCAGATATTTACAACACTAAAAAATGGCGCAAATTGTTTTAAAAGAAATGTGAATAATAATAATTTTATTTATGTCTAAAATTAAATAAATAATTTAAAAATTGAATAAAATAATTTTAATAAACATAATCAGTCAATAATCAGTCATAAGCAGTACCTCATGAGAAAACATTTATTTACTTACATTTTGTACATGTAAAGTGTTAACTTCAATTCCCATAATGTTGGCTGCTTTTATTTCTATAGCCGTTAACAGTGGGGCCGGTGTACTGACATTACTCGAACTAGTTGTGGGTTTAACTGCCGTCTTAGTACGTACTTTCCATTTCAAATCGTGCCAATACTGGAACAATATTATTACATTAAAAATATTTTTTATTCACAAATAAAAATATACCTTCAGTATCTACCTTAGCAATTTTTATAAATGTTTGAACATACATATAAATAAGCTAAAGTTATTTGATCTGTTAGTCATTATTCACACTGCCATTGGTAATTAGGTATAGTAATGAGGGGCATAAACCTTGTTAATAAAAAGGCTATATCTTCTTTTACAAACTAAAAGATACACACTTGTTGAGATTGGAAGCAAAACTATTTTAATTGTCATAAGAATTATATATGTACCTAACATAAATCAACATAAAAGTAATTATATGACGTTTTAAATAATAAATAAATAAGAATTTAAATTAAAACATTTGGGAACCAGCAGTTGTCTATGAACATGTACATTGATCTCAATTGGAATACTACTTTATAGATTATTCTAATAAGAATCTATGTATATAAATCTACATAATATGGTGTACTGAAAATGTGTTAATTTTTTTACTTTTAGCCATTGTCTAGGCGTGCGCGGTGGTCCCTCGGAGTTGGCGAGACGAGCACACTTCTGCCACAGTAAGGCAGCGCGAGCTCTTCCTTCTTTGGACCGTTCCAGCCCCAAGGCTAAGTCTGGATGTTTCTGAAGGAAATTCAACATGATTTCCTGTTGCCGCACTGTGCAATAACGTCTTTTTACATCCATCTGCAAACAATTACCGATTTAGTCTATTAAGGAACGAGTCAAAACACAATGATATAACCATTATATCAATTTTTAATTGTTTCAAAATAATACTTACTTTAAAATAATAATTTAATTTGTAAATTTTAATTTTTTGCACTATTTTTTTTATCTAGACGCAAGCCGATATAAACCGCCGAAATGACAATGTCACATTGACACACTGACAGTTGTTGACAGTGACATTTATATAAATATTTTTTTAAATTCAATTCGTAATTTTTGGGAAAGGACGGATAGTTATTTTGCTTATCAGAAAATTTTACTTGGCAATACTAAGGTAACAAAACATTTGTTTTTCGAGTTCTTAAGTACACGATAACAATGGAGGAAATGTTTTCAATAAATTAATTATAAATTTAAAGCTGTTATATATTACTGATACTTAATGTGAATGAAGTGTATAAATCAGGACTTGATACGAAATATCTAATTAAAATCTATTCTTTTAATAATACTCTACTTACATGTCTTATTGGTCACTCAAATAAATAAATAAATTCCTAAAAAATGTTTACATACTTTGGTGTATCGAAATGTTCGATTTGGAGCTTCGGTGGTATTTCCGCATTAAACGGCCGCGCTGTTTTTACGATCAGCCGCTCGTCTCTGTACGGCTCTCTGACCCAGAGCTCTTCGTCTGTGTGGTCGACAATATCATCGTCATGCAGATTGCCTGTTAGAGATAAAAAAAAACTTCTTGGCATCAGGTCAATAATATAATTACAATTTTAATCACCCAATACATAAAAAAAATGTTTTAAATAAGGAGCATCGTGGATAAATTAAGATAATAAATATTCTGCTGGACAAAAATACCAGAGGGAGACTTTGTACAAAAGTCGATTACTTGGGTACCTCTGTCCCATTCGTGTTTCAATCGTGAAGCAGTTGTGTTTGCATGGCTGTGTTTCGGTTTGAAGTGTGGGATATAGCGTGAATTTACTGGGTACAGAGGAATAACACCCGAGTCCTCAGGAATGGCAATGCATGGGGGGTAACATGGGCGAAACAGTATACTCTGTTATGTCCATGGTACTGCTCATGTCTATAGGCGACGGTTACCACTTTCCATCAGGTTGGCCATCAGCTTGTTTGCCATTCTAAGTTGTATAAAAAAAATTTCAATAATAAATATTAATTACTTTAAAATACAGTTTACATGATAAATATTCTACCAATTCCTTTCAGCTTAAAATAAGCATGACTCACGAACACTTTTCTTAATAAACACTTCATTTATTTTTTCATTCATTCATTCTCATAATATTGTGGTATTTGATTACATTTTACTTTACGTTCATTAAACATCCAAAACTAACTTGAAGCCCTTCAACTACTCATATATTATCCACTATTTTTTTTTATTTGAAATATTATATTTTTAAACTTACCTATTCTATATTGCTCAAGGAGTTGATAAATTTCCCGTGTTTTATGCATACCGTATACATTCCAAAAGGGCTCTATACTCAGACCAGCTGCATTTAGGATTTGGTCGCCACCAGGGTGCGATGGTAGGAATTTAGTCACATCATACACTCCATGTCTGTATGTTACCCAGAAACTCTTTCTGGAAGAATAACATTATGTTATTATTATTATATATTTTTTTTGATGGGTGAAAATGGAATGGTAACCCCGCCTGCGCTAACGAGATACGCTGCCGGAGCTCCAGTGAAGGGTGATAGATGAGAATGAAAACAGGCCAGTTAGCCCATCATGATGAATTCATCAGGAAATAAACATGATAGTTTCCAGGGGGAACTGCGAGGAAGTCGGTTGGGTATATCGCTAGCAATGGGATTCCCAGTCTCCATCACTAACAATCCCTTTCCCCCTATTATTATTATATTGGGTTGAAGGGTGGGATATGACAGTGAATTTACAGGGTACAGAGGGCTAATACCTTAGTCCTGAGGAATGGCAACGCATGGGGGTATCATGGGTGAAACAGTATACTCTGTTGTGCCATGGGCACTGCTCATGTCTATAGGCGATGGTTACCACTTTCCATTGGGTGGGCCATCAACTTATTTCCATTCTAAGACGCATAAAAAAATGTAAGAAATTTATAAGGAAATTATAACAGACACAAATCCTATTTCAATGACTTGTGGGATTAAAAATACACTTAAAAATATAACTATGGGGACTCTAGAAACTTCTAATATAAAGATATAAATTATTATTGTACACATAAACATAATATGCTTTATACATTGTACTAAATTCTATAAATTATATTATGATTGGTCAATGAAGCTTTTTTTAAATGCAAGTTTGTGTCATAATACTGTATTATTATATTTAAACTTATGTTTGTTTTTAACTATGTCTCTATGTAATAGAATTTTTTTGAGACATTTCTGCAGTGCAAGGTAATATACAGCAATGTAAAGCATCATACTCAGCTTGAAGAAGCCATCCGGATGAAATTGAAGCAATTGTCGGAAATGATAAATATAGTAAGTTCATAAAATCCACATTACACATATATAGATATAGTATTATACTTGTTTATGTAATAAAAAAAATAGCATACACTGTTATTGCTTAAGGTCAGATACACTGATATTGCTCCTTAACCTTTACATGTGATTATCAAGAGTAAACAGTATTGATGATAAATATTGGTGGGTGAAATGCTTACAATGGTTAAATAATTATTAGATTATTAATGAAATTAATAATCTAATTAATAATTTCATTAAATTAAATCAAATGAAATTCTTCTATATTAACTTTAACATTTTCATGTTGCATGTTTTATGGTTTTTAAGAGATGGGAATGAATACAAATCATTTAGGTAAACTATGATAATTTACTTGAATTATGTAGACTATTATCTTGTTTTGATCAGGTTATACTAGCAGTGGTCATGAGTAGACCGATATGTGAGACCAGACCAGAGGGAGACTTTGTACAAAAGTCGATTGCTTGGGTACCTCTGTCCCATTCAAGTTTCAACCGTGAAGCAGTTGTGTTTACATGGCTGTGTATCAAATTCAAATTCAAATTCAAATTCAAAAATCATTTATTCATGTAGGACATTTTAGCCGCTTATGAACGTCAAATTTTTACATTATAATTTTAAATTTACCCTACCGTCCAGTTCGGTATATAGATCCAATTGAGAAGAACTGGCAAGAAACTCAATTGAATTACTTTTTTTTTTAAAGCCAGTTTATTTACAATGTATATTTATATAGGTGTCTATGTCTAACATTAAATGAAAATTCAGTGCATGAACAACTATTGCCATGCACACTCGTCATTCAAGTAATCGTTTAGTGAGTAATAGGCTTTGCTCAGTAAATATGATTTAACAGATGTTTTGAATTTATTTAAGGGTAATTCCAACATATCCTTTGGTATCTTATTGTAAATTTTTATACCTATTCCCATAAAAGACCTATTAACTTTTTCTAAACGATACTTGGGGACAGCAAGTTTGTCTTTAAATCTAGTATTAATATTATGAATATTGCTGTTTTTTGGAAATATCGGTTTGAAGGGTGGGATATAGCGTGAATTTACTGGGTACAGAGGAATAACACCTGAGTCCTCAGGAATGGCAACGCATGGGGGGTATCATGGGCGAAACAGTATACTCTGTTATGTCCATGGTACTGCTCATGTCTATAGGCGACGGTTACCACTTTCCATCAGGTGGCCAGAAATGTGACCAGATTATCATATCAGCTTATAACTGTCCACTGCTGGACATAAGCCTCCCCTTGAGGTTTTGCCAGTAGTTGTCATGCTTGGCAGGTGGACTGGCTAACTACAGTTAGGCTTTGGAGACGTTTTAAGAGGGACAATGCTGCCCATTCCTCGCCTTCCGTTAGTAGCCTCTTACGACACCCACGGGAAAGGAAGGGGCCTATTCTATGCCGGGACATGGTAAATAGAAACAGACATTTCAGGTAAATTACTACAGTTCACCTAGTTAATCGTGTTAATTCCTGTTTGTTATAAAATATGCAACTGCCCTGCCTTAAAATCATTGCAGATAATTATAAAATTTATAAAACTAACTTGTTATCATGTTTACTGACTTCTTCAGCTCTGTACACTGGCAGGTCTGGTCGTTTCTCACCTGCTACAACATCTGTTTGTTCATTCTCATGATTGTTCAATTTCTTCTTATTATTAAATTGTTCTGCAAGAATACATATTTGTAAAAATATTTTCTAATAAAAATATTAAGTTTGTAAATAAAATGGAACATACCTATTTTTTTTTTATACAACTTAGATTGGCAAACAAGCTGCCCACCTGATGGAAAGTGGTAACCGTCGCCTATAGACATGAGCAGTACCGTGGACATAACAGAGTATACTGTTTATACTATTACCTATATACATAAATATAGCTTTGATTCAAAATGTATGATTAACAAAATAACTTTTAACAAATTTGTGAATTGTTTTTTTTTAATAATATATACAGTTGAGACAGTAAGCGGTGCACAAATTAAATATAAGTGTAGGTTTTCTTTAAGAGCAATATATACCAGACGGAGACTTTGTACAAAAGTTGATTGCTTGGGTACCTCTGTCCCATTCGTGATTCAAGCATGAACCAGTTGTGTTTGCATAGCAGTGTTTCGGTTTGAAGGGTGGGATATGGCGTGAATTTACAGGGTACAGAGGAATAACACCTGAGTCCTCAGGAATGGCAACGCATGGGGGGTATCATGGGCGAAACAGTATACTCTGTTAAGTCCATGGTACTGCACATGTCTATAGGTGACGGTTACCACTTTCCATCAGGTGGACCGTCAGCTTGTTTGCCATTCTAAGTTGTTAAAATTTTTTTTTTTTAAATATAACCAAACCTGTAACAGCTGACCCAATCAGTACTGAACTGAATAATGCAAAAGCAAGATGTTTCCTATATTTCCACTGGTTTTGTTCTTCAACAATTAGTTTCTGCAGATCACTATGTTTGTTACAAAGATTCCTAGATACAATTCCAGCAAAATTTATATAATTACTTCTTTTTACAGATCTGAAAGCAGAAGACATAATTCCATTTAAAGGCAATATAATAATGTATATTTATTTATTAAAAAAGTACTCTTGTTGAACTATCTTAGGTGTTTTTTTTTTTATAGATGATAATGAAATGGTAACCCCACCTGCACTATAGTTATAAACTGGCAGGACACTAGTAAGTGATTTATTTTGTTAAGAGAGGGACTGGCTGAAAACCAGCACTGTGCAGCTGTTCACATTGCGCTGGGACACTCACAGCATCAGTTGAGCCAGTTCCTTTTGCCTAATATGGGACACTTTTTGTAAATGTTATTTATATTTTATATTGTAATTGTATATTTACTGGCAATAAATGTTTCTATTCTATTCTGTTCTATTACAGATGAAGAGGATGAAGCAAGACATTTGGTCATGATGAATTCAACAGTAAATCAAGTACAATGGTTCCTAAGGGAGCTGCGAGGTCAATCTGATAGGTTTTTTAATGTGTGAAAATGTAATGGTAACCCCGCTTATGCTATCAGTATACACTGGCAGAACACCAGTGAGTGATTATAGATAAGGATGAAGGCAGGTCAGTTGGCTCATCATGAAGAATTCGACTAGAGTTAACCATGATGCTTTTCAGAGAACCGCGTGGAGGTCGATCCGATAGGGTATACTTGTAGCAATGGGCCTCTTAGAACCCATTATTAACAAACCCTTACTTCCCAATAATAAAAATATTTTTTTTTATTCAGATTAGAATCTATGTTCATTAAATTGAAAATTAATCATGTTAGTTAAATTGAAAACTATATTAGTATATTGGTAACAATGGGGGTTGTTAATCCCCGTTATTAGCAATCTCTTCTCTTTCCCTATCTTACCTGTTGAGCATCTATTTTTATTATTTATATTTCTTGTTTTATCAATATACAAAGTAGAGAAATAAATATTAGTAAGTGGGTAAGTAGATCACTATCTCATTAAAATAAGTATTATTATTAAAGTCAATTTTATTGAGGAGAAATATGAATACACAAAAAGTAACTTTTTACAGCACTTGCAAACAAACTTTACTTACCTCAGTAACGTATTCGCTAGATAAACGTTGGCCATGTTTAATTCAAAGTTATTCTATCTATTAAAATTCACAATCATATTAAGTTGACAATCTCGAAGTCAAGATAAACAATAATTTTTAATTTTGATTTAATTATTTGACCCCTACAAGTAATGAAGAAATTATCAATTATAAAATGACTAATTAAACATTTAGGAGTCGGCATTCATGCAATACAAAAATATTGCTGTTTCTGAAAAATAAGCTAATACCTAGAAAAATCAGTATTATAAAAATAAATAAATTAATAACTGTAATATGCTTATGTTCAAAATATAGACACCGATAGATATTATTCAAGAATAGTATACTTTACAGCATATTATTTATAATTTAATTAATCGGTTGCTTAGATTTCATACAAGCTTTTTTAATGAAAGTGGCTTTGCAACAAGCACCAATTGCCTCACCAAATGTCATTCGCTCAGTACTACAGTGTTACCATATTTACAGCAATTCAGCCACCTTATAAACGCTTATTATTTGTTAAAAATATGGTATTATATAGAACAATTGTTTCTTAATAATTTAAATTCAATTCTGCGCGATAAATAGTGTTATTTGTTACTTAAAGTAAAATTAATGTAATACTTTTTTTAGTTTCAAGTGGGGTATATCCTAACCTTAGAATTCTAACACATAGGTTGTAGATAGATAGATATATAGTTTATTTGCATTACTTATAAATAACAACAGACATAGATAGATGGAAAGCAAAAAGAAAAAAAGAGTACCATAGATACTTTATAGCGGACAAAGCCGCGCAAATAGCAAGTATAGAATAAAATATCAGAAGCAATAAAAAAGCAATAGAAGCTAAAATATTAATTTTTAGAATTTTTGTCTGTTTGTTCAAATACTACCCATGGCTCCAAATTGAACACGTTTTTTTTTACATTTGTTTTCCTGCGCCGAACTTAAAATTTGGTGTGTTCCATTACTTATTTTCAAAATCCACGTGTAAATTGTTTACACAATTTTTACTTTAGTTACTAGGTACCATATTAAACAAATATATACCTGTTTGTACATATGTTATGTCCATATGTACAATAATATCTTATGTGCATATCCTTACTAATATTATAAATGTGAAAGTGAGTTTGTTTGTTGCCTTATAGCGCTTTAACTGTGTAACCAATTTCACTATAAAATTTGGTACATATGCACTGTATGGGATGGAGAAACGTATCCCGGTCACGCGGACGAAGTCGCAGGTAAAAACTAGTAATAAATAATTTTGTTTTACATATTAAACATGTAAAATTATATTGATAAATTTAATAAAAGAATAAGTGCTTAGGTATTTAATTAGTTTAATTTGTTCGGTCGTTTTGTTTTTTAAATCAGTTGCAGAGTGGTGAGGCTTGAGGCTTGAAATGCGCTGCATAAGACGAGTGTCTAACAGAATTACTTTTAAAAAAGAGTCTACATATCTTTTACGAAGAAGCTGTGAAAGCTGTACATCGTCATCGCCTTTGATCTCTATCGTTGCTTTAATCTATTTATATGTTTTACACTTTATAAGAGCCGGGAATTAATGCGGTCATTTAGGTACATTGTGATAATTTATCGGAGTTATCTCGATGTTTCGATCATGTTACATCGGTCGCGGTCACAAGTAGACTGATGTAGCGCTGTCGTGCCTCCGCTTTCGAGGCAGAAATTTTGCTTCTACCCACTCATTGTCCCACATGACCCAAATTGTGTTGCCACTATATTGAGGATTTCTGTACAAAACACAGATTGTGTCTTTAATAGATGCATTTACTGACTATACACTACTGTTGAGGGGTGGATTTAAATATTTTATAATTGTTACCAGTTGTTTTATTATTATTATTTATAATTTTACAGTATTTTAATTGAAATGTGACACAACATACTGGTTTTATTTTTAAGTGTTTTTTTTAACTAACCACAGAGGATTAACATAAGAATATGTTAATCCTCTGTGGTTCTGTCAGCATAGATTATACATATATATATATATTTTTAAATTACTAAACTATCTTTAACAACTACAACGAGTTAATGGTTTTTGTATTACTGAGTTACTAATATATAGATTACTCAGCAAAAACAAAGGCTGGGAGAGAATTCACCCTAAATGCACTTTATACTACATCTAGTCTAGCAAATGTGTAACGTAAGCGAATCGTTAGCTTCCTGCACGTTTTCTAATGAGTTTTTAAAGACATCATGCATTAGGCGTTGCTCAGTTTGCATAGCTAAATCTATTAATTCATGATTTTGTTGCTATTTTTTTTCTTAAAGAACTACTCTTTTTTTGAGTATCTGCCCATTTATGAAGTCGGTGAAAATGTTGTTTAATACTTAAAGAACTTTAAAAAGGCAGTATTTTTTTTATGCAACTTAGAATGGCAAACAAGCTGACGGTCCACCTGATGGAAAGTGGTAACCGTCGCCTATAGACATGAGCAGTACCATAGACATAACAGAGTATACTGTTACGCCCATGATACCCCCCATGCGTTGCCATTCCTGAGGACTCAGGTGTTAGTCCTCTGTACCTTGTAAATTCACGCCATATCCCACCCTTCAAACCGAAACACAGCTATGCAAACACAACTGCTTCACGGTTGAAACACGAATTCTTGTATAATTGAATTGGTTAGCCGCAAACGAGTAAGAAAATATTGAAATTTTTAAGTGATCAAATTCAAATTAAAAATAAAAAAAAAAACATCTTTATTTATATTTTGTTCACAACAAAATATTAGTGTTTTGCTCGTTTGTGTTTGGATAAAGCAATAAACTGTATTGTGGCCATTTTGTGTTGTTATGGCACACGCACGAAAGGAGAAATTATATTACTTTTTTACGTATTTTTTTTTTTATATCGGTTTTTGTATATGTCCATTTATGTCTGTTGTGATTTGTTTGTTTACAATGTAGATTTGTTTACAAGCACTTTTAAATCGTCATTTTTTTATGAATGCAGGGTTCAGAAAGTGGTTACCTGTTGAGAAGTATCTGCAATAAACTGCTAAGTTATTCTTTTTAATCTCTGTTAATATTATGTGTATTTGTTTATATCTATATAGGTAAACAGAATTCATGGTTGAATTCGGGCAGCAGCGTTCCTCTTAAAATATCACTAAAGCCTAACTGCGGTTGCCAACCCTCTCGCCAAGCGTAGCAACTTCCTTTGTGGGGGACGCTTATGTTCAGCTGTGGACAGTTAACGGCTAATACGATGGTGATGAATAAGAACTATAGGACTCAAATACAATTTTTATTTTTATTTTTCTTTATCTGTCTGTTTGTAAATTTATAATGATGATAATATTGTCTGTTCATGGGAGATCATTTCAGCTGGTAACTGTCCACTATTCAAGACAGCAACAAAGCTTTCACCAGGGGAGTTTTGGCAGTAGTTGTTACGCTTGACAAGCGGGGATTTTTTTTATGGATGATAATGGAATGGTAACTCCGCTTGCGCTAACGGTATACGCTGCCGGGGAACCAGTGAAGGATGATAGGTTACGATGAAAGAGCAGATCAGTTAGCCCACCATAATGAATACACCTGGAATTTAGCACGATGGTTTCCAGGGCGACCACGTGGAGGTCGACCTGATAGGGTATATTGCTAGCAATGGGACTGATAGTCCACATTACTAATAATCCCTTCCCCTCTCACAAGCGGGTTAGCAATCTCAGTTAGTTTTTTAGAGAAGCAATGCTGTCCATCCCTCTACTGTTAATTTCCCTTAGTCGCTTCATATGGCACTTATTACAGGAAAGGAAGGGGTAGCCTATTCTATGCCGGGACCACGTTGCCAACATGGGAGATTTTTAAGAAAAATTCATTCGAGAAGTCTTAATAAAAGCAAAAGAAGCCAAAACAAATAAATAGACCTGTCACAATTGAGATAAGAGTAATCTTGAGTGAAACGAATGAGGTATGTTGATAGACAGCAATTAAACACAATGCAAGCAAGTAAACAAGTCGTCAGATTTGCTAATCCGTGTCGTATGAAATGAATAAAATAATGAACTGTCTGGGACTAGTACGCCTATTGAAAGTGTCTATAGGGAGTAGAGGAAACAGCAATGAGAAACAACATTTAAACCTTTTGGCGTTTGTTCCAAAAATAAATCCCACTATAAAACACCAATATATAATACCTGTGTATAGTAACTAATATATATGTATATTACAGGGAGCACTAAAGATCCTTATCGTGTCTACAGTTATGATCGAGTGTAGATATTCTTGAATTCCTATCCTACCCACTGGAATGTAGTAATTGTCACCTATAAACATGAACAGCACTTAGATCATTACAGACTATACTTTGTAGGCATGGGTAAAATTTGGCACTGCTCCAATATCTATATATTGGGTCCTTTTGGATGTTGATGGCGGAAAAAGGTTTGTCACCCATTTCGATATCTAAATTAATTTTGATTAGGCTCTTCATTTCGACATGAAATATTGGATAACAGATATTTAACATATTCATTATTAGGCTAATATATAGATTACAATATCTACCAGAATATATAGATACTGCTATTACCCACTTTTATGCTTTGATGCCTATGAAATTCTTAATGTGTTTGCCATATATGAAGACTGCAGATTTTAGCCTCCGTACCTTGTAAAAAAATATCTCTAATGCTAAATAAAATTAAATTTATTGAAACGTTTTACGACTGCAGTTTACAAAAGATTACTAAGTGAATCTATATTGCAGGCATATTCACCAGTCTTCATAGTGGATAAAATGTCAGGAGCCACGTACTTGGCGAGGTTATCCGCATAGAGGAAATCCAAATGCCCGAAAGATTTATCTGCCAGGAGGCACATTTTAGCATCAGATCGAGTCAAAGCAGACACTAATGTCTTAACATCTTTCACATCAGATACATAATCGTTTTCACTCGCGAAAAATATCCACCGCATCGTCACCGGACTCAGATCAATGGTTGGCGGTTTTTCTTGGCCGTACAATTCCAAATTCTGTTTCGAACCGTAGTCATATTCCGAAAAGCCATTAGTTACCATTTGGCCCCAACGCAAAAAGTCTTTCAAAGATGTCCCTGCCGGCAAATGTCCAGGAAGAACAGGCAGAACGTCGGATGTGATTTGAAATTTGTTAAAGCCCAGAACTGAGAAGAGAAGAGCTGAACAGGCTAGATAAGATGCTTTACTTCCACATAATATTTTCCCCGCATTCTGAAAGAAGCCACCATATGGTAGAAATTCAATGTTCGTTTCATTATTTGCCGTTTTAAGAATTTCATTAGCCGCTGCTTCAACTTTTATGACGATGAATCGAGAATTTTCTAACCACGCCGTGGGTGACATACCAAAGCCTAATTTAATTTTGTCATTATATTGTGGCTTCTTTGCACAGAGAAGTAGCAGTGTGCCCACCGCCTGGCTATGTCCCACGTAGTACACCTGTTTTTTATTTGTTTTGTCCAATACATAATCAATAATTGCCGGTAGATCATGAAGAGCCATCTCGTCCATAGCAAAGTTCCAAAATTCGGGATCTTTGTCGGGATCCAATGATTTATGTTGTCTGCTGTACCTGTTACCTCTGTTATTCGGCACCCAAACATCATAACAGGCATCAGAATATATGTAGCAATGTGCTTTACCGGGTCCGGGTATGATACAGTCGTCTCCGCTTAGATATAAGCCATGCATGAAGATGATAGGCTCCAAATTGGAGCTGTCTTTGCAGGATTTGTTAACAGGTATTCGGAATACGGAAAGAATGTAGCCGTCATCAGTGGTAACTGTGTAAGTCTCGCTGTTGTAGCCATCGTAAGCCACTAATTCGGTGAAGTTCTTATCTCTTCTTTGCGATATAGTATCATCTCCTAGATTAGTTACATTGTCTAAGATATTGTCTTGACTAGTCGCATGTTTAAGGAAAGCACAAGTCACCGAAACGACTAACAGACTCCGCATAGTTGGATCTGGAAGTAAATATTAGTTGGACTTTTGAATTGAGTAACAGAACTAATACGTCTCAGGTTATAGTATAATTTTTAAACCTAAATTATTAAAACTTGCTGATACTTTCAGATAGTGCCACCATAAAAAAAATTGTCAAAATCGCTTCGCTAAAAGATAATTTTTTAAACAAAAAAGAGTTCTCCAAATTGGTCTAGACGCCTTCGAGTAATCGGGGAGCATACATAAAAAATCGTCGTATGATCTCGGCAAAGAATAGACTATTCTGTCCTTTCCCATGGGTGTCGTAAGAGGTGAATAAGGGAACTTAATGGTCTAGAGATAGGTAGCAGTGTTTGTCAAGTGTGGCAAATACTGGCAAAATTTCCTTGCTTCCTTGGCTTATGTTTAGCAGTGGACAGTTAAGAGTTGATATGATGATGAGACATAAAAAAAAAGATTCCGACGAATTTAAAATCTCCACAATGTCTTTGAAGTTATTTTTGGAAAATACAGTAAGTATACGATATGTATAAGAGTATAAGAGTTCAGATACAAAAGGCGATAGTTTATTTTACCTACCTATCAATTTTTGTCTCTCAACTCTTATGGTGTACCTATGCAGAGAGAAACATGTCAGAGAGATTCATACGTACATGGACATGTATAGATAAATACTATTCTTCCTGCTTAAATTTTTTTTTATTTCTTCACAGTAATGTCTTTTACTTTGTAATTCATTTAGATTCCATTATAATTAAGATTGTGTTGAACAAAAAAAAAAAAAAAGAAATTATTTAATTGCGGCAACACCAGGTATTTTGATTTAAAAACTAAACTAAGGAACGGAATTTTATAAAATTTCTATGCAACCAATCGGTAAGTATATCTTTTCATATAAAAATGAACTTTTCAGATCGGTTTATAACTGGTGGAGCAATGAGTAAACAAACATAAAATCTTTTTGAAGTTGGTAGGTTATATGAATAAATTTTATTAATAAATTTCATATGCACAGATCTAATTTCGAATTCTTTTTGGAACCATAATAAAAGCAAATAAATAGTAAGCTTATAATAATGATATTAAAGAACAAATTAAAAAACAAGTAACAAATAAATGCAAATACTTTTTAAAATACAATTTACTGGCAGTGCATTTATATGAATACTTTAAAAAATCTTACCTATTTATTTACAATATATTTTTATAATTTTAATAATCTTCATATTATTAAAAAATATTATTATCTACAAGGCTCTTAGAACATCAAGCACAGAGAATTCAGAAACAGCCTAATAAGTTGCGCTCTACAGGTACAATGCACGTGTACGGTATATTCGTTCGCTATATATACCATATAGTTATAATTTTAATACAAATAATATTATCATTTAAGAATAGACAGTAATTATCTGATATTAATATGGAAATGTTGTGCAAATATGACTGTACATCACCGAAATAAAAATATACCAATTATACATGCATCTCTATGTAGGTAACAATAAAGTAAAATTTTTAAAATGAATTGTATGGGTATATAATTGTATATTATGGGTAGGGATATATATTTACTTAATTACATGTATCACAAACTGTTTATAATTACTCCTCTCCATTCAATGGTTGCCTGGAAGAAATCTCCTTCAGCGCAGAAGTCGCCCATTGTTTTCTCAGTGTAATATTTTCTTGTAATTGTTTACATTTATAATAAGTTTACTATTGTAATCTTTTGGAGGAAACAATAAAGAGTATCAATTTATTTATTTATATAAGTTTACATGAATAAAGTTTATATATATAAATGAATGGCAACGCATGGGGGGTATCATGGGCGAAACAATATACTCTGTTATGTCCATGGTACTGCTCATGTCTATAGGCGACGGTTACCACTTTCCATCAGGTGGGCCGTCAGCTTGTTTGCCATTCTAAGTCGTATAAAAAAAAAAAATAACAAAACTACATTATTAGAAAGTGAATGGGCTGTAATGTAATCGTCTATATTCAGCAGTGTACAGTTAATAATAATAGACAGTATTACAACAAATGGGCTGTTTTTTATATTCAAAATAACCATACGAAGACGGGGCGGAACACTTGTCTTTCTATTAACAAGATAATAGTAATAAGAGATAGAACGAGATGGACAGTAAGATTTTACGTAAATAAAATGGACTGAGTATTTTAAAACGCGAAATTATCATTTTTTTTTTTTCGCAACAATTCTCTTGTTACACAAAAAACAACCGGCAACTCCAATGTAATCATTACAGAATTAAAATTAACCAATACCGGAATAAACTTATCGGTTCTCCCACCAAAGGGGGTTTTTCCAGTAGTTGCCATTTTAAAAGAGACACTGCTGCCCATCTTCCCCCAATATTAAATTCCCTTAGTCGCCTCTCACGACACCCACGGGAAAGGAAGATGTAGCCCATTCTATTAATTTTTCTCTAACCCTTCTTTGCATAATGGTGGAAATTTCCATCATAACATTGAATGCCCAAAAATTATATAAAAGAACAAGTTCACTCAAAGTTGATCGTGACCTTTTTAATGTCCGTGCAGAAAAAAAAATCATAGCTATCAATTTTTTTAACCATTTTTTATTAATTTTTTTTTTCATCTAGATTTATTTAACCAATAAAAAAAAATCATGCAAAGAAGGATTAATTTTTCTTATATATCTTTCATGTACCTACAGACATCGTCTAGTCACAATTTTACTATATTCGTAAGATAAGATATGAAAAATTTAACATACATAAGTTTTAAAAATAACATTTATAAATATTTACATTTGAATCTATTTATTAAAATATAATAAATTATATTGTATTACAGTACTATTTGTGCAGGCCTAATGATGATATAAGAATCAAAAATAATCATTTACAATCATTATAAAAACACTTGCACTCTTATACAATTTTTTAATGAATTTTACCAGAGGGAGACTTTGTACAAAAGTCGATTGCTTGGATACCTCTGTCCCATTTGTGTTTCAACCGTGAAACAGTTGTGTTTGCATGGCTGTGTTTCGGTTTGAAGGGTGGGATATGACGTGAATTTACTGGGTATTGAGGAATAACACCTGAGTACTCAGGAATGGCAACGCATGGGGGTATCACGGGCGAAACAGTATACTCTGTTATGTCCATGGTACTGCTCATGTCTATAGGCGACAGTTAGCACTTTCCATTAGGTGGGCTGTCAGCTTGTTTGCCATTCTAAGTTGTATAAAAAAAAAATATAAACCCTTCCTTTCCCGGGGGTGTCGTAAGAGTCGACTAAGGGAGGGCGAAAGATGGGCAGCAGCGTCCCTCTTAAAACATCACTGAAGCCTGACTGCGATTGCCAGCCCGCTTGCCAAGCGTGGCCACTACTGGCAAAACGCCCCTTATGGGGAAGGCTTATGTCCAACAGTGGTCAGTTAATGGCTGAAGTAATAATCATACAGAATGGATTCGCTTTATGTCATTGGTCAAGATCAATAACATTGCTTTTATCATCGTCAACTGTTCAATGCTAAATGTTACCTCATCCATAGTCTAAGGCTTTGGAGAGTTACCAATACCTACACTTACTTATAAGGCGCTGTTGGGATCTTTTGCCATTTTTATTACATGAAAATTAATATTTTTCACATATACGTAAGCTAGTATGTTAAATTGCTAAGGATTTAGATAACAGAATTTATCTTTTAATACAAATTTATTTTTTAAATTACGTTTTTTAAATTAGGTCTATAATGACATTGATTCACTTTACGTAAATATTTATTAACCCTTCTTTACATAATGGTGGAAATTTCCATCATAACATTGAATGCCCAAAAATTAAATAAAAGAACAAGTTCACTTTAAGTTGATCGTGTCTGGATACCTTTTTAATGTCCATTGCAGAAAAAAAACATAGCTGTCAAATTTATTTTTTTAACCGTTTTTCCTTTAATGTTAAACATGAATTATATCACCTAGATTTATTTCACCAATAAAAAAAAATTATGCAAAGAAGGGTTAATTATCAGAGAGTAAAGATTAGATTAAAAAAAAAAACAGACATAAACATTTTATGGCAGCAAATAAAACTATTTTTTTTATTATTATTTCAACCGTTAACTGTCTACTGCTGGGCATAAGCCTTCCCCATAAGGGGAGTTTTGCCAGTAGTTGCCACGCTTGGCAGGCGAGTTGACAACCGCAGTTAGGCTTTTACAGATGTTTTAAGAGGGTCGCTGCTGCACATCCTTCCACCATATGCTCCCTTAGTCGTCTCTTACGACACCCACGGGAAAGGAAGGGGTGGTTTATTCTATGCCGGGACCTACACGGTGTATATAACTATAAATAAATATAAATCTAATATAACTGTAAAGCAATGGTACCGTCGTTATTAAATATAATTTTTTTTTTAATTATTTTTTTTATACAACTTAGTATGGCAAACAAGCTGACGGCCCACCTGATAGAAAGTGGTAACCGTCGCCTATAGACATGAGCAAGTACCATGGACATAACAGAGTATACTGTTTCGCCCATGATATCCCCCCATGCGTTGCCATTCCTGAGGACTCAGGTGTTATTCCTCTGTACCCCGTAAATTCACGCCATATCCCACCCTTCAAATCGAAACACAGCCATGCAAACACAAACTGTTTCACGGTTGAAACACGAATAGGACAGAGGTACCCAAGCAATCGACGTTTGTGCAAAGGCTCCCTCTGGTAAATAATATAAAATCCATAATCCATATATCATCCTTACAAACTTACCTATTTATAATATTAATAGAATTAAAATAAATAAATATTGTAACAGTACAAGAATGAATTTTATTATTAATTTTTACTTTCATACTAAATATTATAAATGCAAAAGTGAGTTTAATTGAGTTTATTTGTTTGTTACCACTTAGCGCCTAAAGAGCTCAACTTTTCATGAACATATCTCGGACAAACGGAGTTGCGGATAACAGTTATATCTGTACAATAATAATTATGAAAATCCGTTGAGAATTGGAAAATATTTTATTAATTTTCGGAAGTTAGTTAATTAGTTGTTGTTTTCAATCTTGTTTCGTATTTCCTTCATTATTAGAACAGATACAATGCCTAGAATGTTAGGAATGAAATCGGTTGGTTGGTATTGGATAAACCAACTATCTAAACCAGTCGACCGTCCATTGATCCGACCTCTAGACAGCCTATCTACTATGAGAATTTTCCCCGAATTTCGGTGTCGAACGAAATAAGAATCTAAAGTTATAAGAACTTTAGGTTTAGGGTGATAAAGGAAATGATACCAAAACAGTTTCGATTATTCGAACTTTTATGGTAGGGCTTACGAGGCTGTGACCGCAACTTTGTCTACGTGACTGAAATAATAAAATAGCTTTCGTTTTTCGCCCACCTGCATAAAAGTGCACGATTATGCCTTTCATAAAAAATTATTGAGGTATTGTGGTATAATTATTAACGGTGTGCGAGTCCGAACGTATTTGCTATTCGAATAACTAGTAATTACTAATTTTATAATTCGACTACTAAATACTGAATACGGGAAATAGGTATTGGTGACCCGCACGCATGCTAAAGGTAAAGGAGTTAAGGGGCCGCCTGAAAATCAGCGCTATATAGGTACTTCTCGCTGGAGCTGTGCATATATAGCAACAGCTGAGGCGGCTCCTATTACCAGCAACATTAATTGTTTTTTTCTCTTTTTGTTGTTTTAATTTTTTTCCTAATATTGGTAATAAAGGTTATCTATCTATCTATCTAAATTAGTAATAATACTCGTACTAATAATTGTATCCAAATAATTTTACGAATTAGTAATTTGATCTAGATAGATAGATTTATTTGCTGGAACATTGTTTTTACAGATATTGATTTATTGTGAAGTACAAATGTTCGCCTTATGGTCTAAAGCGTGCAATTTTAATATTGGTTAGGTACAAGTTATTATACTTTACATTACATCAATTATTCATTCGATTAATAATAATAAAATCATAATATTATGTTAAAAATCTATCTACATTACTAATAATTAATAAAAAATAAAGTTCTTTCCCTTCAAAATCAGTAGGCCTACCATGAAATGATTTCCGAAATTTCGGGGACGAACGAAACAGAAATTTGATGTTAAAATTACATAATATATGCCGTTTAAAATGATTTAAAACGTTAAAATGTCTTTCCTCTGGACTATTAGGATAGGATTTATGATGAACGAAATGTTAAGCTCCAGTTACTGGATCGATTTCGGTATGAACAATAACACGAAACTAAGGGAACTCCCTCTTAAAAC